AAATTTCTACCATGTGTCCATCGGACAGGTCCTGCCAAATTATTGGATAATATTTTCACAGCCTAAAACTACGCAGGCATGAGAGGGGAATGCCGAATATTTAGTTACAAAATCGATTTGGGTTTCCTCCAAATGGGTATACTAGTATATTACACATGTATGTACTTAGCTATGCATTTAGATCAATATTCAAATGAAACTCTAGCCAAAACAATTCACAATTCCACAATTCCACAATTCACATTTGAAGCACACTCGTCCAAGTGTTTGAGTTGTGCCCAAGGGCTGGGAGAGGATGGCTGCCCGCCTGGCTGCCTGACCTGCCTGCCTGTCTGCCTGCTCTGGCTTTTGTCTTCCATTTGACAATAAATCTGTAAGCTGAAAGCTCTGTGCAACAATGAAAATAGCAAGGAATTTCCCTCAGTTATAGATTACATTCATAGACTCTGGGTACTTGTGCCGCAGATACCGAGTATTTGAAGAGACATCTGCATGCGTGCTCCTCCATCTCCATCTCCAAGACCACTCTCAACTACTTACAGACTCCTACAAATTCCACTCAGTGTCGCCCCACTTCTTTGGGGGTTTTCCCAACAGTAAGTGAGTGAGGGAGAGTAAGGGCTTAAAGGGCCACACCCTTTCGTTGGTACGCACCTGAAATTAAAGGAAAATAAGAGCAAAAATTAGAATTGTTTTCGGAATTCGTATAGTGCATATAACAGTATATATTTTATAGCTAAGCTTCCCCTAAGCGAACGGCTACACGTGTTTTATTCCATTTCGTTCCTCTATTACGACATTCTGGTATATTGATGGCCGTACGAATTTCCCCCCAAGTGAATGGACATCTTCGTTTCATTCCATTTTGTTTCTCATTGCGAATGCGACTCTGTGCTTGTGGGAAACTCTGGATATTTATTCATTTAGAGCAGAAAGTTCTTATAGAAATACATTCAGTTCGTTCGTAGCCATAGAAGGAGGCATTATCATCATCATCCAACAGCTTAATCGAATGTCATGACCAACTGCAGGCACAAATTGTTATTGCCTCATTATACGTAATCCCCGCCATACAGCCAGAGGTCGGCCGTACGTAGTACGTACACCCGCCGTATAGCCAGCCACCCTCCTCTCTGCCTCTCTCTGTCTGTGTGTGTAATTGCTCTAAGCATTGTTAATGTCATTTGTTGTTGAACATTTAACCCCTGGAAGAACAATAAAAAAAAAAACACACACACAGACAGAACACAGAGTACAGAGAAACAGAGAAATACAAGAGCAAAAACTAGAGCATAGGACTGAAAAATATATCTCAATTGTTTGCGCTGGTGGTGGCACCAGGAGCCACACACCAGATGGATAGCAATGGGATTTTCGGGGGAATATAAATAAATTAGCATAAACCTGTCATGGAGAGTCCGTCCCACCTTTTGTCATATCCCAAAAAGGATATTTGCCTACAGAAATTAGACAAGGGGCCCAACACTGGTACTGGGTTTGGTCCCATATGGTTTGCCTGTACGGTTCCATATTTTCCGCTTTATTTCTTTTTCTCATTTTTCAACAGATGTTTTGAGACTTTTGATATGTTTGTTCTGTTTGATTTCCCTTTCGCTTTCAGTTTCCATTCTTGTTCTTTGTTTCTAGATCTTTCGGGTTTCCCTAAAACGGGGATGGAAAAAGGAAAGGGGACATTCTTTCATGCACGTTATCTCGTGTTGACAGGCAATGCCAGGGGCCAATCGAACACCAATCGATATATAATAAAAGGCCAGCCCCGAGATCGGAACCCATCACCAACCCCCAAAAAGATGGCCCTTAGGTTTATTCCACCCTTGGGAAAACGCCAGCCCACCTCCCAGGGGAAAATGCGTGCCAAAAAAAGTGTTAAAAAATGCAATCTACCGTCGAGAGAGGGCGAAAAACACTCGTAGTGGGTAAGGTAATAGAAATCTGCTTTGATTTCTTTATAATATCAGCACAGCATTGCATGTGTGTGTGTTCCCTTCCTTTGTCCCTTGAAAGCAGAGACCGTAACTGTTATAACTTTTAAAGTAAAAATTTCAATCTGAGAATTATTTTAAACTTTTTTATATAAAAGTTACGAATAACATTTATTTTTAATTTTTTCAATGGAAATCAGAATTAAGAGTTATTTTTAATTTATACTTTTAAAATCAAACATAAGAATTAATTATGATTTATAGTATATAGTATTTTTCTAGTAATTAATATGCATTTCCGGATTTTCTGCTATTTTTTCTAGCATATTTATAGATTTTTAAAAAATATTTTTATTAGTTTCTGCTACTATCTGGAACCTTTATCTAGCATTAATGGTAATGGTAATATTTCTAGAATTTTTCTATGGATGTCATTTAATTCATAGTGCATTAAACACTTCGTTGTACTGCTAATATCCTGCCCATTCTAGCTGACTTATTTTTTGTGTGAGAAAAAAACACATAAAAAATAGCCATAAAATAAATTTACACCCACACACACACACACGCACGTGTCGGGGCTATTAGGTTTTCCTTTTTGTGGAAAGTGCAATTGAATATGGCAACAGAAATGACTTATTCCATATCTTTGGATAATTTTATTGGCATTGGCAAACTGCAGTGCCATAGACTGTGGGAATATGAGAGAAAATATGAGAAGATGTGGGAAGCATTGCCACACCACACCACACCACACTTCATTTATGTGTATGTACATATGTGTGTGTGTGTGGTGGCAGAGCAGTTGTCATAAGCTTATTGCAACGTTTAGGCACCTAGTCGACTGGTAAAGCCCCCGCCGCACCAATGGGGATTAGGGGATGCAATCCCACCCACCCACACTCTCTGTGTCTCTCTCTCTCTGTGTCTCTCTTCTTCATAACTTGCAGCAAATTCAATTTAGAGTCAAGACGGAGGGAGAGTTGACTCTCCGACGCAGTGCACTTTAGCACGTAGACTCCAGCCCCACCCCCAAAACGCCATCCCATGAACACGTACTCCAAACGGGGAGCCAAAGGAGCATAAAAATATGGAAAAAAAAAAAGGAAAAGGAAAATAATGTGGAAAATGTTTATGCAAACAGTTTAAGCCATAGCCATGAAGGTGGGGAAAGGAAAGGAAGGGAAAGGTGGCTGTGCAAAATGTTCAGCATGCTAAGCGTTATTTAGCGTCTAGTTACATGATTGTGCCACACGTGGCACGGCATCCTTTGGCAGGATGTTCCGCCATAAGGCATGGCGCCTCAATTACGGACGGTAGTCCATGAGCCCCAACAGTCTCTGATTGGGTTACATACTTGTTTCTCTCTCATACATATGTAGCATGAATATGCATAAAAAAAACCCACACACAGAAAGCGGATCCAGCTCGACTCAACTTCCACCTCATCCTTCGTCTTCTTTTGAGGGGATTTTTCTTTCGTTTTGAATAACATTTAAAGGCGTTCAACTATGGCTGGCAATCACATCTTTTGGAATATTTTGCTTTATATTTATTAGACTTATTTGGCAGCCAGGGAGGGAGGCTTGGTTGTGTGGATCCAAAGTGTAAAAAAGAAATATCGCCAGAGATACAGGAGATTCACTTTTGGCTATCACTTCCCGTTTCATCTATGCAGAAGACACTTCACTCTGTGCCTTCGGCTGTATTGGGCCCCCCCCCTTCAGATCTCAAAGTGTCATCACAGAAAGGAGAAATCCAGAAGCAGATCGATCTCTGATAAGTTTATATCCCACTCTTGGTGCGAGCATTATCTCCTCCCTCTCTTTTGGCTATCACTTTCCTCGTTTCATCTATACAGAAGACACTTCACTCTCTGTGTCCATTCGGCTGCTAATTAAATTGATGGACCGTCTGGAGTGGATTAACTTCCTTTCGTGTTCCTTCCCGGGGGTAGACAGAAGACCAACCCTCGGGTTACGGATTCGGATTCGGATTCGATTGAGTTTAGCGTTTTGCTTTTGAGGTTTCCGCATTCCAACTGCAATCGTGCCCAAGGTCAATGGAAATGCGTGCTGCGTGGTGTGCGATGTGTGGGTTCAGGGGATGGATGGATGGATGGATGGGATGAATGGGACACTTTTCCAGCATATCCACCCTCACGCTCGATACGCATTTGCCGGAAAATAGAAGCACATTTCGTTTCATTTCGTTTCCCAGCACAAAACTAATAATTAAATCGACAAATGAATTCACACCCTTCGCTGAACGAAAAAGAAATCAACCAACAACCCAGAAATTACGATCCATGGAGGGGACCATGCCAACGCCATCCCTCCTAAAACTCAGTCTATTTCAAGGCCAATGACATTGGTCATTCAATTCATTCCGTTCTCTTGATTCATTTCATTGATGGGTGTCTAGTATTAGATTGCTATTAAATCCTTTGCCATATTCATTCTTTCGTATCGCTTGTTTAAGGCCAAAACAAAAAAACATCCATCCAATCAACAGATTCAAAAGCCTGAAACAACATTGTAAGAATTTCTCATCTGTTTGCAAGTGTTGCAGCAATTTCCTGGGGCAACCAGCCCCCACCCCCGCACGCCCTTTTAGCGTGCAGTATGTTTGGGGGGGTGGGGCATGCAGCATGCACACATAATTCTCTGGGATCTGGGGGCTCCTCTTCCCGTCGCCTACCGCGGGGCTAAAACAATTTACGACGCGCAGTCAATAAATTTCAATTAGACACAAAAACAACACAAACTGAAACCAGAGTCTGGGGCAAAGGCAGTGGCAGCGGCAGAGGCAGGGAGCGGCAGAGGCACCCTTTCTGACTGCATTTGCCCTCCGTCTTTGTTTTGGTTGCATTTGCATTGCGAAGCACTCATAAAATACCAGAGATATACAGCCCCACAAATCGGAGCATGGAATCGATTTTATCCCAGTTTAGTAGGCCCCTGAAATGCTCTGAAATTTCTCCACCTTTTTGCTCACATCTTGTTATATATTTCAGTTCGTTAAAATTAGTCAAAACATACAGATCTAAATTTAAAATTTGCATTAAATTTTTAGTAAATTTTTAAAAAATTCTTAATTGCAAAATTAGTAGTTAAACATTTTTGGCATACAAAAAAAACGGACAACATTTTTGGTACAAAAACACAGGGGACAAAAAAATCGAAACAATTTTTAGAACAATTAGCCAATCAAGTGCTTCCAATCAATCATCAAATCCACACAACAAAATGTCCAACAACCCACGAAAGCAATGTCTACCGGTAAGTGCGAAAATGGAAATTCCTTTTTCCATTTTTTGTAATTTTTTGTTTTTTCCTGGCAGAGCAACCTGAACATCAACACTTGCGAGCGGTATCCGCATCCAAGGCAAACGGAGTTCTATCGCACAGTCGAGCCGCGCATCTCAGCCCAGAGCCAGAAGGCGGAACATGCCGCAGATCGATTGAATCGCCCAGCCCGTGCCGCACCCACACAAGGTCCACGCATCCAACCAGCGCGTAACTCGGAAATACGAGGATTTCGCAATAGCTATTTTTCCTAATGCTTCTGCATTGGGGGTAGAAAATCTTTTGGTACGCTGAAACGTCTAAAAAAGCAAAACACTTGAATTTTTATTCTCTTCTTGTAATATTCTATGGAAAAATGTATCAAACTTATCTGGTGGAATGAAGTTTGAGAACTAACTGATTGTTTTGTGTGCAAAGACTTTCGTGACCTCTGGGATCTCTGTTTTGTGTGTGTGTGTGGGGAGGGGTTCAAGTAATTAGTAAACAGACATTTCGTGTTGCTCGCTCCGAAAACTTTGGCCATATAAAAATGATGACTTTCATGATGCAGAGCAAAGAGTAGGAGGAGGAGGAGGAAATGGTGCAATGGTGCCGCCACCACCCCTCACGTAACGTAATTCATGGTATGTATGGTAGTTTTCCCCTCTGGGGCTTAAACCTACCCAAAAAGTGGGGAGGAGTGGGAGTTCATTCGTCGTTCATTATTCGTTATGATTCATGGCTACTGCAGCAGTAAACTAAATATTAATGTGTCCCACACACACACACGCAATCGAATATATGTATATAGCTCTGTGTATGTACATTTATTTGGAAGAGTGAAAAAGTCACCCTCGAAGCATAAGGAGGAAACTCCTCACGAGAGCAACGTTCCTTTCGTTTCTTCCTTTTTTGTTCCTTTCCCAAGCCGAACCTGTTTTGTCTTCAGAGTTGCTTGCACTTGCGATAGCCGATAACTGATCGTGTCGATGATACGGTAGCGTTGCTTTATATAGCAGTTTTACGCCTTTTGCGCCAATCAAACAGGAAAATGTTTTCCTTTTTTGGTTTTTCTTTGATTTTCTTTAGCTTGTTGCAATTTGATGTTGCATTTCCGGCATTTGCTGGCAGCATCTTGTTGCCGTTTGATGTTTTTGATGGAGTGAGTGTGGAACACAGGGCGTGGAAAGCCATCAACAAATTTGTTGTCGACAGATACTATTTTTAGAGTATTTCTGCAAAGATCTGGCAAATACTCGAATCAATGCGTCTGCTCGGGTTCATGGGGAGAGGATGTGGATGTAGATGTGGATGTGAGATTTCCATGAGTTTCAATCTTTGTAAGATGGATTTTTATTTGTTTATTTTATTTTTTTTATTTTTTTATTTTTGATTCTAATACCAAGATTCTTTCTTTCATTTTTTGGCGAGGTGTTTTAAGTACAAGCCAGCAATTTGAGTCTGCTTTAAGCCTTAATAACATCATTTAAAGATTGCTTTCAGCTGCCATTCACTTTTGATTCACACAATGACTCACTGGGCACCACTCATATGCGAGTTGTTGATTCACATAATGCTACAATTAGTCAGTCTGCAAGAAGTGTTATTTTCAACTTCATTTGATGTGCCATTTTGTAGGTGTACCTTTTGGTACGGCGGGGATTGCATTTGATTGGCCTATCGGTTGGGACACTGTTGCTATTTTTTTCGATTGGTTTTTTTTCCCCCTTCATTCTGTCTAAAGAGACATTAATTTTGGCCTCCTTATTGCTTCTCTCCTCGCTAAGTTTTGCCTTCTTTTCCTCCTCTCCTTTATTTCTCCTTTTTCCTGCGTTTCATCAGTAGAGATTTTTGTTACGGTTGTGCCACGTGCCACCATGCAGAAGAACACGAAATGGGTGTGGTGTGGCACTTGGTGTGTTATCTGCAACTGCGGCATCTGCGGAGGATTCATGCCCCTGCATTTAATTGCCACAGCATGGGAGGCGGCGTTCAGCCTTGCTGCAATGATAATTGTTTTTCTTTAAGCCTCATTTTGCGCTTCATTTACGGTCGGCTTTTGCGTTGAATTTTTCCATGGAATCTGATTGGTAATTTTTCTGTTTCGGGCACAATTTAAGGGATATTCGATTGAGTTTTTTGGTACAAAGATGGGGTTCGGTTTTATGTTGGATTCTCCTGGCAAATTATCGGTTTTAGCTTAAGGACGACTATGGAATCGTGTTAATATATTTTTGTGTTCCTATCGAAATATCATCCATAGAATTATCCCCTTAACTTTTTTTGCGCGCCCTCTCCAATTGATTTTTCGTGTTGAATCGATGAAATGTTTGCTGGATTTGCATTTAAATTTTACTCTGATGACCCCCTATTTCCCAGCAACGTTTGAAGATCATGTGAAAGCCCTGAAGGGTGTATAACGATATATGGCTGCATGGGGTACTCCCCCTTCATTTATGGTTAATAGAGAATACTACTGCAAGACGTGACTTTTCCGAGTACATTTTTTGTCACCCAAGTAAATAATATTTTTTTGCATGTGACTTAATGTCGGAATATTTAAGAGAAATAAATAAACAGCTAAAGCAAATAACTAGAACGTTGGAATGGCGATAGAGGGAGGGATAGATCCCTCCCCTTCGATCGAAATCGAAATTGAAATTGAAATCGATTCCAAAGAGCAACAGGTTTCTGTTAAAAAAAAAAAGGGAGTGGGCTGCCGCCCCCTTGGTGCCACGTTACACGTCAGCGATTTTGTCAACATAAAAGTGAATCTTTGGATGCCAAGCCCTGACCAATTGACGACCGGATCTCATATTCGATTGATGTAAAAATACCAGTAATAAGAGGAGAGCAGATTCATTCATCGATACAGAGAGAGAGGGTTTTCGATGGCTCTGCCTATTGTAGACAATAAAAATAGTTGGCCCCACACCCCCCAACAAAATTTGAAACGTGCAAAACGAGTAACCAATTGGGCAATGTATTTTCTTGATGGGAAAAACAGCAAAAATTTCATCGATACAACACGAAAAATCAATTGAATAGTTCACTGTATAATTTCTATAGATGATATTTCCCCACAGAAATTAAACAATACGGAAGATACTTGTATGCACCACTAGATATACATATGTACATGCATATATCGTAATTCTATAGAGGACTTTCAACTGGAAATAAAAATGTATAATAACAGAAATAATACCAATTAGATTCCATGGGAAAATTCAACGCCAATGATGATGGGACTCAAAAAAGTACGATACAGGTTGAGTGAGGTTTTTTCTTGGGGGATCCTTGCATCCACGAATACATCTATTAGTCTTCCTACTCTCTCTCCCTCTAGTATGCCTCTCCTTCTTTTCTTTCGCTGCTTCAGACAAGTGTGAAAGAATGCAAGACTGCTGATGAATGTCTCTCACTCTCCGTCTCTTTGTCTCTCTGTCTTCAAGGCCAACGCAAGAGCTTTGATGCGGATATGCGGATGCGGATGCGGGTGTGCGTGTGAGTGAGCGAGAAACCAAAAACACGATGCGAAATAATTGAATTTAATTAACATGGGAAATACAGACACACAAAGAGACACTGAAAAGCAAAAGAATAGAGCTGCAGCAGCAGCAGCGGCAGCGGCAGAAGAAGTTCTGATTTCCATAGCAAGGGGTTGGAAGGGAGAGCGAGCAGACACCACTCCACTCCACTCTCATAGATAACTGTTTGTTTTTTGTTTTCACATAATGTTTAATTTTTTGTTGTTTGTGTACTAAAAATTTGTTTCTGGAAAAAGTTGAAAGCTAATTAAATAAATGTATTTGTGTGATATGTTAATTCATGGAAGAAGAATAAACAAGTTTTGCATTCCCGCAATACTAATCGCAAAAATATACATACAAAAAAATTATTTCAACGAAGATTTCAATAAAGTTTGAGAATGAGAGTGGTTTGTGTTTCTGTGTGTGGGTTTCCAAAATAAAATCGAAGGAGAATATATTAACAGATGATGATAACAGCCTGGAAGACTTTGTTATTTTGGTTCATATTGGGGTACAATTTCTAAGAAAATGTTTCATTTAAATAAGATGATAAGGTGATGCGAATGACATTGACTCGCTGTTAAAATGTTACATATATATTTTATTACGAAAAATTGTTTAAGTTTATTTCAGTGGAATTAGATCAGAGGTCGGCACGCTCCTATCTATTGTGCTTGGGAAAAGGCCCTGCTGCTGCGTCACGTGCATTATTTCAGTGGTTGGCACCAATAAAATTATCCGTTTTTAAAGTTGCATTACTTAGCCATTGTTTTTATTTTTAAAATAAAGTTTCAAGTGAAATTTTAAATCTAAACTTCTTTATCGATTTTGGCAAGAGTTTTGTGATTTCATATAATATTTCATGGCTAAGAAAATAATACAGATTAAGTCTCAACATGTTTGCTTTTTCCCCCACATCTAGTAAGAATTATATCCGTAGATTTGTTGAAGAGTTCTTCTGTCTTGTGGAATCGTATGGCTTACCTGAATGATAAATGCTGCCAGAAATGCTAAAGTCCATAGCCATAAATGTTGTTCAACCGCTTTTCTTGTTGTTGTTGTTGTTGTTGCTGCTGCTTCTGTTGTTGCACGTTGATGTTTCTGCGGGGCGCTGCTGCTGTTGTTTTTGTGTTGTTTTTTGTCTTTTGAGTCGAATTCTAGTTGTTGCTTTGCTTAGCTGGTACAACATTTTGTGGCCGTCGTTGTGGCTTTTTTTGTTGCTGCTGCTGCTGTCTGTCGCCTCTCTTCTGTGGCTCTCTCTCTCTCTCTGGGTAGCTGTTGCTGTTGCTCTTGCTTTTGTTGACTCTCTGAATTGTTTCGCTTCTTAGTTTCTTTCAATCTTTGGCATTTTCAGCACGAGTTTAGTTTTTACTTTTATTAAATGCATTATTTGAGGAATTTGTTTTTATTTTTAGTTGAATTTAATTTATAAATAGGTTTTTTTTCGGGGGGGCTGTCTGCAAAAGAGAGGCTTGCAATGAGGTAATGGTAAAGGAGAGAGCGCGAGAGCAAAAGAGAGCAACAAAAAAACAGATTTCAAGCTGAGCTTTGGTTAGCTTTGGTTACGGTTGCGCCGACGCAGACGTTTCTCTCTCTGCCTGCCAAGCTTCAGCCTTACGATCAGTTATCTCTCTCTTCCTCTCTTTATCTGTGTTTTTGGTGTGTGTGTAGAATCCCCTCCACCCTCTTTTTGCACACAGAAATTGTTAATGGAAGTGCACGCACCACGCCACACCTCCACCTCTGCACCGCCCTTTCCTCCCAGCAACACCTTCAATCTTTGGCTGACGTCAGCGAAAGCTTTGCTTTTATGAAATATTTAAATGCAAAAAAAAAATGAAACACACAAGTATAAGTAAGTATATAAAATAAACAAATAATTAAAACACTAAAAGCAAAAACCAGTTTTGCAAGGGTATACACTTTGCAGAGCCAAAGAGGGTCATATGATTTTCATCAAAAACTTGGACCTGGCACGAAATGCATACATACATATGTACATACATACATATGTACATGTAAGTTTGAGAGATCAGAACAATCAAAAGACTTGCTTCTATGCAACAAAAAAAAAACTGCTCTTATTTTAGTTTAGTTTATTTCAATTTGTTTTCTAAGCCCTCAAGCATTCAAATCCCCAATTAGTTGGATCATAACCATTAAATATTCCCCTTTGTATTTGACCTAGATCGCGTGATCTGTGCAGGGTATCTTCGTCTTCGGTTTGCCTTAAAACCAGGTCTCTTCTTTTCCTTCGTTTTGTGAAGTGTGGCCTAGGGTCGTGCTTAGCTTTTACTTGTTGTTGTTGTGGTTGTTGTCGCCATGCTAAAAAACAAACAACAACAAAAAGACCTTCAACTTAAGTTTTCTGTTGAGAGCCCAACCGCACAGAGAGTGAGTGAGAGCAGCTTGAGATGGCATTGCCAGAGGTGGAAGATTGCATTGATTACGGCACTGATTGATCTTTTGGATCTCAACTGGGGGACCCACAAAGAGAGAGAGAGAGAGAGCTAGCGAGAGCCAGAGCATTGTTTAGCTATGAAGTGCGGTAAAAAAAAACAATAAAAATCTACCCACAAAAGCTCATTAAAACAAAACAAAAACTGAAACAAGTTTTATTTGTGTGCGCTCTCTCTGTCTCTCTCTCTCTCTCTATGCACCTTGGTGTTATTGTCTTTACAAGAGGTATGGCATTCTTTCAGCATCAACAGGAACTTGAAACCTATGTACTAATGCTTCAATGGAACCCCAGCTATGACTATCCTACTATGGACTCCCATATAAGGCAACGGAATCTGCAAAGGGGCTCTCTCTCTCTCCTCCGATCTTTCCGTTGCTGTCTCACAACCTGAATGTGGGACAGACAGAACAGACAGAGGAGACGGACAAGTTTCTGCATGTTTCCATGTACCATTATTATGGATTATTTATCATTCATAAAAAGTTCATGGATTGTGCTTTCGGCATTTCTTCAATTACCAAAAACCAACAACAACCAAGAGACACAGGAAGTGGAGAAATTTTCATTCAAATTCAAGCACACACACACACATACGCACGCACGCACGCACACACAACTCATGAAACACAGGGGCAGACAGAGAGAAGGAGAGACAGACGGTGAGACGGTGAGAGAAAATTGCTTAAAACGCGCTGGTTGTGGGCGATGGGCGAGAAGGTGTGCAGGAGGAGGTGGAGGATGGGTTGGATGCTGTGCAAATGGCAGTGAGAGTGGGTGAGGTCGGTCAGTGAGGCGGGAGGGACAGGGTGGTCGCGAGAGAAAGCAACGGCATGCCAAAAAAAACGACTGACGACGCCGTTTGCCGCCGGGTTGCGTAGGTGTCGCTGCTTTTGTTATTGTTGTTGCTGTGGCTGCTGCTATTGCCCGCTGCTGCGACGCACTGTGGAACACACACACACACATACACCAGTCTGAACCAAAAAAAAAAAAATAAAAGAAAACAACTCTCAGTTTCTGCTTTTACTTTAAGCTTAATTCAGCGTTTCGTTTCTTACATTTTCCAATGCACAACAACCACAACAAAATGATTCATGTATTAACGGGCCAAAAAACCAGGTTGTCTTAACCGTCTCGCGACATGCTGGGGGTTCAACAAACACACACAACACACACACACCACACACCAATATTATTTGACCACAATTTTTTGTAGATTTTTGCGTTCAAAACATTTTTGTGGTAAACCGTTGCCCCGCTGAAGAAGAAAACAACAACAAAAAACGTACCAACACGAACACACACAACGCGCGCGCCTTAAACATACACACTCGCATAAACACCGTCAAGAGACGTTGGCGGCGACGGTGGCGGTGGCGGGACGGACCGGACAACGACGACGGCGGTAACAGCAGAGCGCAAATTTTGTGAATTTCGAACAAAAATTCGACACTACTTCTGTGCTTCCATGTCCGCGGCCCGTTCACGTTTGGGGGCGGCAAGGCCGTTTCTTTTGCACGTTCGAAGCTTTGAGCTTGAAGTTGAGGTGTGACGTCACAAAATCCGAGCTTTCCAGGAAAAATCGCACCTCACCACATAACACAACGTGCACCCATGGTATATTTAGTCAGGGTGATTTTTGTACGAGGCCCTTAAAAAAAGCTTGGCCGTTTTAATACGGGGGCTATACCTTGCCATGACACAGTCGAAAGAGAGCACTCAAAACTCTCTCCGACTCATTTTTGCGCTGCAAGTATGGGCTCGAATGGGAACTATTTTTTGATCTGGCAGCACTAGTTTGCAGTCTCTGTTGCGTGGTAAATAACTCAAATAGTGCGGCCCACTTGCTCTGTTTTCCCCACCTACTATTATTCCACCATGTGCTTAACTGGAAAATCGATGCATGCTTGTTTGAAAAACGATACCGATTCTTGTTTATTGGCGCGTCGGTTTTCACCAATGGCAATAGCAATGGCTACTAATGTTTTGCTTTTCCAGCCTTACATTTCCATTTATACTCAACGAAGAGATAGATTAGCCTCTTACAAAGTCAAAAGTAGATGTAGATGTTTCCTGAACACTTTCAATTCATTCAAACATTAACTCGTATTCAATAAACATCGAAATAACAAAACAGAAAAATATTTATTTTTTACAAAAATAATGCCGAATTATTTCAGTCGCTTAAACTCCGGCGCGTTCAAGGCCAAACCAACTCTCAATAGATTCCGCAGCCGCTTCCTAAACTTTCAAATTCAATACATGCGCGTCAATGGCACCATAGTCAGCGACGAGCAACAGCTCCTGGTGGATGCCACAGCCGCTTGGCATAAGCTTACAGCTGATGAGAAAAATTATTTTTCGCAAAATGTAAGCATAAATGTGGCCAATGGAAAGTGCATGCTAATGTTTTTTTTTTGTAATCTCCACCAGCCGAGCTGTCGCTCCAAGGCGCCAGAGTTCAACCCCCCACCACCACCAACCAATCCATCTGTCTAGATGCAAGCGATGTGAGTGGGAAGACGAAAACAAATTCTTGGACTTCTTTGTTATTATTGTCTAATAGAGTTAATGTGTACCTATATTTATTTGGCTGATTTGTATTTCTTGAGTCGATCTGAAAACCCGTCAAAACGCGCCAACTTAGATTTCAAATGTTGAGCCCCCCACGCATCAGCAGTCAACTGCGCGAACTCGCCTCGCTCAGAGTTGCCTTTGTCGATGGCTGGGTATCGATACATCGCCAAGCTACATATATTTCGAGGCGGGCTTTGAGAGAATTCAAATTGAATAATGTGATTTGAAAGTCGCATGATATGTATTTATTTATAATATATTGTTTATTAACGTTTCATCTGTGTGAATTGTTGTTTATGATAATTATTGTTAATTACAGGCTATGCTTTAATTGCTACAATTTAGCAAAGTTCCTAAAAAAAAAATAAACGACATTACACAATATTATTACATCGATTTTCACCGTTCCGACACGTTCTACAATTATTTCGACCAAAATCTTTTACGACAGCGCAACCAAAAAAAAGGCAAACCAAACAGAAAAAAAAAAAAAAATTCAAGTGTGTTTTTTTTTAAAACCGAAAAGTGTTTAAAGAGCACAACTCCGTACCCGTACCCGCACCACGGGATCGATCGTACGATTCGCATTGGAAACTAATATTCTAATTACGGGAAACGCTCTAAACTAAAAAGTAATCAAAAAAAATTAATAAACAGATGAATAAATTGAGCTACACAAAAAAAGTATTTAGTTTACATATGGATGAAAAGTATTATTAATTATATAAGAAGAATATCTATTAACATTGAATTTCGCTATCAAACAAAAACAAAATCAAATAAAAACAATAAACAATAAACGTGGCCCTGACAAAGCACATTTCACATACCCCTCCCCTCCACACCCCCCCAAACTAAACACTTCCAAAAAAAGAGCATACAGAAAAAAGAAACCACCAAATCTGATAAGAACGCTCTCTCGCTCTCCCCCAAGGACAATGGCAAAGGCTTTGATAACGCATTTGTGGGGAAAAGGGAAGCGAAGGGAAGAGAGTACGAAAATCAGCCCTGTTCTCAATTTCAATAACGCAACATACAACATTTCGTACAACATTGAGAATTACAAATTAATTAATTATGTTTATTGCTTTATTAGTTTCACTTTCGTATACAACAAAGTCGTCGTCGATTTGTTGCGATAATGGAATTGGAAGCAAGACTCAATTTTGAGATATGCACACTGTGAAATGGCCCCATGGGAATTGCTGGCATGGTGGCCATGCAGAGGGGGTATATTGACTCGGACCATTTGTTTGACGAGTCGCTATATCCACTGTATCCGTTTTTTTTTTTTTTTTTTGCTGCATTTTATGCGTACATTTATGGGTAAAAATAGGAAATTAAAATTTTACAGGGTATTAAAATATATTCGGAGCACGAAACGCACTTTGCTGCTGCTTGTTGTATGGCAAAAATTTAATTCAACTGCATCCATGGGGCAGACAATCCGATATAGGGAACTTTTTTTCACTGCATGTCTCTCTCCCACACACCGCCTGATCGCTAACACCCCCCCTCCACCCAACAACAACAACAACACACACCATCCATCAACACCTGCCCTTTCTCTCTCTCTCTATTGGATTGTTCGCTCTCACTCTCTCAGTGTTCGGATGAGTATTGCTTTGAAATTGCTCTCTGAAGCCAGGCTTCGGACGTGGGTTAGAGTGAAATGGATGATGGCTGTGGATGGGGGTGGTGTGATGGTTTGCTATAGCGATAGGCGATTGTTATCTGTGGATCGATTGGCATCAATCGATGCTCTAACTGTTAATGAGTAGTTATTAGGCGTAGGAGGGGGGAGGGAGCGAGCGAGCGAGGGTTACTGGAACCGAACACTGGACTCGAAAGACACACACACACACACACACACACACATACGCTCATGCATACACTACGGCTGATACATACATACATACAGATATATACACTATTATTAATTATTACATAACGATGCTAACAAAGTTTTTCGTTTCTTTTCACTTGGAAGGCAAACAAGCATTTCACAACACTGGACATGGATCTATTACGACGCCGCCATCGTCGGCGCCGCCTCCTGCTCCTTCTGCGTCGTGCCACTCCATCACCAACTCATCCGTCCGGTCATTGAGCCGTACTCGTCAATGCCGCCCTCAGCTGTGTGCTGGTGGGCGTGGCCGGCGACCTGTGAAGCACACTGGGCCTCACCGTAGCAGGGATCGGTGACGGGGAGGGGGACTGGGATTGGGACAGGGTTTGCGGTACAGGCGATTGCAGATGGGAGGGAGGCGGAGTATTGCTATTGGGATCCGGTGTATCCGGTATATCACCGCTGACACTGCTCGCGGGTGAGAGCATCGAGCTGGTTTCCGTTTCGCTCAGGCAACTGCTCAGTTGTCGGATGACCCCAGTGCCGGACGAGAGGATGCATTGGTCCCGCTGCAGCTGCAACTGCTCCTGCTGCTCCCGCTGATAGAGAAACTTGCGGGCTGCCGTCACATTGACCACACTCACCGATTTGGAGATGGAATTCTTCACAGAGCTGGGTGCGGGCGGCACCAGGGCCAGTTGATTCTGCGACTGGGATTGCGTGGGCGATGGCGCCATCTCCTCCAGGGTGAGCATGGTGGCCGATGAGGAGGCCGGTGAGCTGTAGCCATCGTCCAGCATGCTGGTGTCCATCGGCTGTACACCGCCGGACTCTGACTCGACGCTCTTCTGCAGATTCTCAATGAGGTACAGGACAATCCGTTCCAGCTGCTGGGGCGCCTGTGAGGCGGGCAGATCCGGACTGCTGCTCTGCGTCGGCACGTCCGCCTTGATGATGGTCGAGAACTTGTTCTTCATCTCCTGCACCCTCTGGCGGCCGGCCTCCTCGTCCAGCAGCGTATTGACGCACAGGAACGAGTGCACCTTGTTGCTGCCGCGATCAATCTCCAGAAATCCCTTCGTATGCAGGTAGATGAAGCGCCCGTTGCGCGACAGCAGACGGTAGCAGCTCTCGCCATAGTCGCTGTTGCAGTCGTACATCTGCCTCAGGGCCACAATCACCCAGCGGACATCGTCCAGATGCATAAAGCAGAAGGGACTGAGATTTCGCACCTGCAAAAATTCGAGCGGTTAATAGAACTCGCAGCCTCGATTGGGGTAACGATTGTTACCTCATCCTTCATGTAGCCGGCCACAAGGCCAATCCTTTGATCACAGTCAATGATGCTGCCGTCGATGAGGTGGCGCGTCCGATACTCCAGCTGGTACGGTTCCGGCTGGCGGTAGAGCAGACTGGAGCCAAAGTCCTCGCATTCGGGCGACTCGGCACGGACGCGATGATCGCGGTCCCGATCGCGATCGCGATCCCGATGCCGATCCTCGCGTAGCACACGGGCCATGGCCACCAGGACAATGTCGTTGCCACTGATGCCATGCAGGGCCGCCTGGGCAATGGCATCGTGCTGGGGCAGGCAACCGGTGATGGCCGCTGCCGTCGCCTCGGCCGCTGCCGCCGCTGCTACTGCAGCCGCAGCGAGCATGTTGTTGTTGCGCGATCTGCGGATCAGCTGCGAGACAATGGGATAATTGGCGGCCGCACCGCCCGTCAGCGAGGAATCGCTGCGCCGGAAACAGCCATCGATCTTCACCAGCTCGTACTGGCGGCTGGCCTCGGCGCGGGTGGAGGCGCGCGCCACCCGGATGGTGAAGCAGCGCCGATCCGAGCGTAGCCTCTCGTCTATGGCCGCCAGATGGGCAATGGTACGGGGGCTGGGGCTGCGACGTGGATAGAGCTCTTCGCAGCCTTGGTCATCTGGTGGCATCTCCTCGTTCTCGTTCTCGGGATCCGGTTCCGGGTCCGCCTCATCGACATCCTCCTCCACATCGCTGCCCGAAACGGAGGCCGATGTGGATGTGGAGCGGTGCTGCTGCTGCCGCTGGCGCTTCTGCGAGGGCGTCGTCTGGCGCTGCTGATAGAACAGCGTCTCGATGTCGCGTGGAATGAGCTGCTGTCGGAGCAGGGCCTGGTCATCCGGGTGGGTGATCTGCAACAGATTCTGGCCATACAAATCCGACTGGCAGTGGCCCAGCAGCTGCTCAACGCTGGAGGAGACCAGCACGATCTGGCCATTGCAGGTGATGGTGATGAAGCAGCTGTCGAGCAGCTGCATCAGTGTGTCCGTCAAATGGAGACTGGGATTCTGGGTGGCGGTCGGCGCTGCACTGCCGCCGGATGTGTCCTGCGACGAGACACCCTTCAGACAGACTATCCGCCGCCGTCGTGTGGCCGACTTGCCAAACACATACTGCAGCCGCAGGCCGTGGGTGGCGAAACGCAGGACGGCCGTTTTGTCCAGGCGGCGGGAGGATTCGGCTGCATGTGGCACCATCGTAGCCAGCTCCTGGATGCTGGCATTCAGCTTGTCCCGCCGCTGTTTTTCGGCTAGATTACGAGCCTCTCGGCCATTGGCTGCCTCCGAGGCGGCCGTCGATGCCGCTCCTGAGCCGGAGGAGCCCAATGCTGCCGTTGCCGCGGCTGCTGCTGTTGTTGCGACGTCGACGGCGGCTGCGGCTGTTGCTGTCTCTGCTGCGGCCATTGCGCACGTTACTATTATGTGTGTACGTGTGTGTGTGTGTGTGTGAGCTGGTGTCGGTGTATTAGTGTGTGTGTAAATTGTTTTTGCCTTGCTTTTGATTGAAACGTTCTTATGGTTTTCCACCGTTACCCCGTTTCCCATTCGCTAATTGGCGCCTTGCGGAAAATGGAAATCGTCACTCTCCATAACAGGATGGGGGAGTGTTCTCTCACTCGCACTCGCACTCCCTACTTCCACTGGTACTGGTACTGGTACTGCTGCTGCCGCTGGCTCTCTCTCTCTCTCTCTCACGATGTTTGCTCTTTTATTAGTTTTTAATATTTGATATATCTATGCATATATACATACATACATATAAATATATATTTTTTTTGCTTTTCTTTAAAGTTTTCAAGGTCTCGCTTATGCTGTCGTGATGTTGTTGTTGTTGTTATGGCTAACCACCTTTGCCTACGACCCTCTCTCGCTCTCGCTCGCTCGCACTGTCGCGCGCGCTCACCATCAAAAGTCACTCTCTCTCACGCAACGTTGTACATATGTTTTCTCTTTTTTTTTTTTTAATTACTGTTTATTTCCCCTCAGCAGGGAATTATTCTATTCCGTATTTTTCCGCTCTATTTTAGTATTGTTGTTGTTATTTTTAATTTATTTATTATTATTTATTTCTTGGTTTTTGTTGTATTTTTTGATTGCGTTGCGAATTTACGTTATTTGTTGTTGTTGTTGCTGTTGCTGCTAATATTATGTTTGTTGTTGTTGTGGATCGTCGTAGGTGAGTGAGGTAAGTGTGCTTCGCTTTGCTTTGCTCTGTCTGTATCCCGCTGCCGTATGACAATTTGAGCTGCGTTTATTTTTACATCACACATATACCACTATTCGCACTGGTTTTGTTTATATTAAGTGATTAATTGTTTATTAAACAATTATGTAGCGCACGACGACATTTGTGGTTGCGTTTTCGATATATCGATCGATGATATGCGATATGTTTTGCTGGACGAGACTGCACTGCTCTAATGCATTGGCTCTGCGGTATTTTCTGGTATATCACGCCACTGTGTCAATTACATTTCTGTGTGGCAGTCTACATAGCAACTACACAGCGATGTTCCACTAGTGTTGAGTAGGGTATGAATCACAAACAAAATGATATTTTTGTGTGGTGGTGTTCTTCATTAATATAATTGTAAATGAACATAATTAAATAGAGTTTGAATAATTCAAGACATCGGTAGTTTTGAATGTTTGGAAAACAACAATCGATACTATCGTGATAGTATCGGGCTCAGATAATTATTAATTATCATTTTCATTTGAAAATGACCGCCAAACTCCATTTATCGTACAAAAATATCGATATTATTCGCTCTCAAATCGTGGTGGTTTTTCAAAATTTGCTCTCATTCAGCAACATGAAAATGAATTAGCAGCATTGTTGTGCAACTTTCCACACTATCCAAACATTTCAAAAGCGCAACGACTGTAGCTCGATACTATCATGATAGGGCTAGCAGTAAAATATCGATACTATCGATAGTGCCCTCGATGGTTCCTCTAGACACCACTATCAATAAAAAAAAAAGATGTATCGATATACATGTCAATATTTAACATCCCATCCCCAACTTTCTGCCAGCTGTGCACGTGAAATCGCTGAAGCTGAAGCTACGGATTTCCCAAAGGCGAATCCTTGTTACGAGTCTGCTAATCCTGCGAACCACCCCCCCGCACCATAGATATGTCCAAAACCAAGGGAAAGAAGAAGGAGCGCTTCGATGACGACGACGAGCAGCCCGAGAAAGTGGTTGTCCACGAGAAAAAGCAGACTAACAAGAAGGCTGGCAAGAAGGGTAAACGTGGCGGTGGCGACTCCAGCGACGAGGAGCAGCCACCAGGCAAGGTAAGTGGTGGCAACAACAGGGATGCCGAGGATCTGGAAAGTGTGGCCTCCTCCAAGCAGCCAAAGAAGGGTGCAAAGAAGGGTAAGAAGGGCAAGCGGAACGACGACTGGAGCGATGAGGATGAGAAGCCATTGAAGAGCGCTGCCAAACCTCCAGCGCGAAATGATGATGAGGACGATGACGAGGATGCGGCAGCTGCTGAGGCCAGGGCCCCGGCCAAAAAGCAGCCTCAGGGCAAGAAGAATAAAAAGAACAAGAAGAAGGTGGCCGATGACTTCAGTGACGATGAGGCGGAGCTCGACCTCCAGCTGGATGAGGACGACGATGACGAGGAGGAGGCGCCACAGATGATAGCCAAGCCCTCGGCCAAAAAGTCCAAGAAAAAGCAACAGCAAAGGAACAAATTCGACATGAGCGACGACGATGAAGAGGAGGATGCAGATGCTCTGGATGCAGTGGAGGAGCCAAACGCAGCAGCCAAGAAATCGAACAAGAAGCAGCCGAGAAAATTGTCCATCAGCGAGGACGAGGAAGAGGACGAAGAGAAGCTCGAGGATGAGCCCGAAAAGGAGGTGAAAGAGGAGAAAAGCCACTGAGATTCTCGTTGAGAAAATAGCTGCCGTTTCACTCAAGGAACCCGAAGTGGTGGCGGTGCCGCCGCCCGTCACTGTGGTGGAGCCCGAACCGGTGGCTGACGCAGAGCCCGAATCGGATGGGGAGGCGGAGGAGGCCACACGCAAATCCAGCGAAGAGCCCTCAGAGGCCAAAGAGAAGAAGCTCACCCACAAGGAGAAGAAGAAACAAAAGAAACAGCAGGAATACGAACGCCAAATGGAGCTGATGACCAAAAAGGGCGGCGCCGGACACTCGGATTTGGATAATAACTTTACGATGTCGCAGGTGCAAAAAACCGCTGGCCAGCAGGCGGCCCTCGAGCATGCAGTGGATATTAAAATTGAGAATTTCACAATATCAGCAAAAGGTGAGTCAACATTTTGTTTTTGTTTTCAGGATCTCCAATTACTGATTACTTTCTATCTCTCTGTCTCTATCTTTTTTTGTCTGGTGCCAGGCAACGATCTGTTTGTGAATGCCAATCTACTGATTGCCCATGGCCGTCGCTATGGCCTGGTGGGACCCAATGGACATGGCAAGACAACGCTGCTGCGTCACATAGCGACACGTGCCTTCGCCATACCGCCCAACATTGATGTGCTGCTCTGCGAGCAGGAGGTGGTGGCCACCGACAAGACGGCCATCGAGACGATACTCGAGGCCGATGTGCGTCGCACACAGACGCTGAAGAAATGCGAAGAGCTGGAAAAGCAGTTTGCCGACGGCGACATGAGCGTCCAGGAGGAGCTGAACGACATCTTTGCGGAGCTAAAGGCCATTGGCGCCTACTCAGCGGAGGCCCGGGCACGGCGTATATTGGCGGGTCTTGGGTTCAGCAAGGAGATGCAGGATCGTCCCACCAACAAGTTCTCGGGTGGCTGGAGGATGCGCGTCTCGCTGGCGAGGGCTCTGTATCTGGAGCCCACGCTGCTGATGCTCGATGAGCCGACAAATCATTTGGATCTGAATGCCGTCATCTGGCTGGACAATTATCTGCAGGGCTGGAAGAAGACCCTGCTGATTGTCTCCCACGACCAGAGTTTCCTCGACAATGTCTGCAACGAGATCATCCACCTGGACCTGAAGAAGCTGCAGTACTACAAGGGCAACTATTCCATGTTCAAGAAGATGTACGTGCAGAAGCGGCGCGAGATGAACAAGGAGTACGAGAAGCAGGAGAAGCGTTTGCGCGAGCTCAAGGCCCACGGCCAGTCGAAGAAGGCGGCCGAGAAGAAGCAAAAGGAGACGCTCACCCGCAAGCAGGAGAAGAACAAAACTAAGCAGCAAAAGGACGAGGATGAGGGCCCCCAGGAGCTGCTCGCCCGCCCCAAGGAGTACATTGTCAAGTTCCGTTTCCCGGAGCCCTCGCAGCTGCAGCCCCCCATTCTGGGTGTGCACAACATTACGTTCGCCTTTGACGGCCACAAGCCGCTGTTCATTAAGGCCGATTTTGGCATAGATCTGAGCAGCCGTGTGGCCATTGTCGGGCCCAATGGCGTCGGCAAATCAACGTTCCTCAAGCTGCTGCTCGGTGAACTGGAGCCTCAGCAGGGGGAGCAGCGCAAGAATCATCGCCTGCATGTGGGACGCTTTGATCAGCATTCGGGTGAGCATCTGACGGCCGAGGAGTCGGCTGCCGAATATCTGCAGCGGCTCTTCAATCTGCCGCACGAGAAGGCGCGCAAGGCACTGGGCTCCTTTGGCCTGGTCAGCCATGCCCACACCATCAAAATGAAGGATCTGTCCGGTGGTCAGAAGGCGCGCGTTGCCCTCGCCGAGCTCTGCCTCAGTGCGCCCGATGTGCTCATTCTGGATGAGCCCACCAATAATCTGGATATTGAGAGCATCGATGCGTTGGCCGAGGCCATCAACGAGTACGAGGGTGGCGTCATTATAGTCTCCCACGACGAGCGACTGATACGCGAAACGGGCTGCACTCTGTACGTGATTGAGGATCAGACAATCAACGAGATTGATGGCGAGTTCGATGACTACCGCAAGGAGGTGCTCGACTCGCTCGGCGAGATCGTCAACAATCCCAGTGTAGTGGCCAATGCAGCGGTGCTGCAATAGCCGGCCGGCCCTTACCCCTCTCTCCCGCTTCAATCGTGTGTCTCAAGCCTAGTCCCTGCTGGCCATGGCCCCTCTCTCTGTTGATTATGCCGCATTGTTAATGGATTATCCGCTAGTTAGCCTTTTTATACCATATATAAATAAACAATTAACAAATTGTGAGACAACAAACAAAAAAAGAAATATGCTTATATTTTATTCAAAGAAAAGTAAACTAATTAGGGGCCAACGAGCACGCTCAGGCCGTCTTCAGCCGGAGCGGTAGAACGATTTGACATTGTTCAGCATCTGGGCAGCGCCGTTGTAGCCATCCGTATCGAAATCAATATTCTCGCCGCCAAATTGAATGACCTGCAACCAAACAAAGGCAGAAAGAAAATTCCATTAGCATGAGCGTAGGGGACAAGAGGGGAGAGGAGGGAGCGGACTTACCTCCTTGGCCCGTATGGTATCAGCACCATGGGGCACACCAATCACCTCGACCCAATCCCCCGCGGCGGCATCCAGAGCGGTGGACAGATTGATGCGCAGCTTTTGATTGTCCGTGGAAGTGGCCAGCAGTGTGGAGCCGGCGACACTATCCACACTCACCATAATGCTGATGGTCTGGGCGGCAAACTCTTTCATCATGCTGGCGTTGATGATGGAGCGTGGATCAAAGGGTTCCATCATTTTAGTTGATTTTTCTTTACAGCAAAACAGCAAAAATATTTGCGAAATTGATGCGACAACAAGAAAGAGCGCCAAGCAAGACCAGTGGTGGCAACAATGAAAATATCGCTCAGACGAAAAGCTAAATATCGACTGCTGGTATTAATTAGTATCAATTTAATTTAATTTCATCCACGCGTTGCCTCTCTCTAAAATCTATCAATTTAAAATTTAAACTAATCTGAAAATTGGATGTCGGCTCTCATTGCTATTTTCCAAATACAAGCACGTTGCCGCCGAGCTCGTTCCACTTATCGCACAAAAATACCCATATGCCTATCGATAATCAAAATGAAAAGACGGTCTGATTTAACGATGTGTAGCAACACTCAAATCAAATAGTGTTGATTCCGAAAAGTAATCACATGTGTATCCGAAAACAGCCATTTTAACGTGCCAAAAAAACTATCAACAAAATATATACATATATCGATATATTGATATGTATTTAACATCCCTAGATCACAGTTGCGTGCCGTGCGAACAAACGGGACCATGACCAGTAACAGCACCAGCTGGTCGCGCTAATTGGAAAATTAAACAGATTTTTGTGTGTACTGTGTACATTATGCATAATAAAAACAAATACGCGAGAATTTTTTGGTGTTTCGTGTGAAGTTTGACAAATTGATAAGTGAGTGGCCAGACGGGAGTTGTACGCATATTCGCTCCGGTCCTCAAATCGGACACACAAACAAACACACACACCCGCAGAGTTTTGTAACGCAACACGAGAGGGTCCGTGAAAGAGAGTCTGGAAGTGAGAGCCGCCCCGCAATAATTACACACCAACACCAGCACACGCAGCAGTCATACAATAGTAGATCCCTCCTACTCCTCCTTGTACACGTCCACGTCCGTTCCCCGCGCTTCAAACATAAGGAATTTCAAATAAAATTGGAAATGCAAATGCAAAATGAATGACGAGGAGAACGCCAATAATGTGCCTGGCGCCCAGGCGCAGAGTACGGACCAGTTGGCCAGCCAGGCGGCGACTCCCTCCCGTATCCGCCTGCCCATTGTGGGCATGACATGCCAGTCGTGCGTGCGGAACATACAGGATAACATTGGCAAACGACCGGGGGTGCTCGTGGCTCGGGTGGCGCTCGAGGAGAATGCCGGCTACTTCGACTACGATGCCAGCCTGATCGATGCGCCGCAGATAGCCGAAGCCATCGACGATATGGGCTTTGAGTGCAGCTACAGCACGGCCCTAACCAATATCCGGGTGGTGGGCATGACCTGTCAGTCGTGTGTGCGGAATATCGAGGGGAATATTGGGACCAAACCAGGCATCCAGCACATCGAGGTGCAGCTGGCGGCCAAGAATGCCCGCGTCCAATACGATCCCGGCCAGCTGACGCCCGACGAAATAGCCGAACTCATCGATGACATGGGCTTTGAGGCGAGTGTGGCGGCGGCGGCGGCCACCAGTGGCAGCAACAGTCGGTCGTCGACTCCAAAGACCAACAGTCCTGCCCCCTCGCCACGACAGTCGCCCCGCAGGGATACGGTGCCGGATAAGAAGCACGCACAGAATGGCACGGCCACAGCGATACCCGTGGAACAGGAGGCGCTCACAAAGTGTTTCCTTCACATACGTGGCATGACCTGCGCCAGCTGTGTGGCGGCCATCGAGAAGCATTGCCGGAAGATATACGGCCTGGACAGCATACTGGTGGCGCTGCTGGCCGCCAAGGCGGAGGTCAAGTTCAATGCGAATGTCCTAACGGCGGAGAACATTGCAAAATCCATCACGGAGCTGGGCTTCCCCACCGAGCTCGTTAACGAGCCGAACAACGGGGAGGCGGAGGTGGAGCTAGAGATTGGCGGCATGACATGTGCCTCGTGCGTCAACAAGATCGAGAGCCATGTGCTCAAGGTGCGGGGAGTGACGGCTGCCTCGGTAACGCTGATGACGAAACGCGGTAAGTTTAATCCCAACTAAATCCAACACATAAACCACTGGAAACCCACGTATAAAGACACACCACACCCGAACACACACACACACACACACACCACACAAGTCCAAGTGGGTGGTAATGGCGCGTTCCAGTGCGTGTATTGGTTGGTACATTCCACAAGTGCAATTGATGCCTCGAGCCCCGATTATATAATAATAAGCAGCAAGCAACACCATGGATCTAGAGCACCTGGCACGCCACCAACAGCCGGGGCACCTGTTGCGTATTACTCTCCCCCACCACCCCGCCACCCAGCAACCCAGCAAACCGCCCAATTAAAACAGCTGGCAGAATTTTTTGTTTGTTTTGTGGCAGCAGCCGCAGGTTCCCATATATGTAACTCTTTTTCGTGGTACAGGACAGACAGAGGCAATTGAACACTGAAATCAGAGCTGTGCAGTTTATTGTTTTTATTGTAAACTGATATGGAACGTGTGTTGTTTTTTTGCCATTGCAATTGCTTTTTGTTTAAGGGAAAATACACAGAAAACAAACCCAAGGTGGGATGGGTACAGGGTGAGATGAATTTCCACAGCGGGAGCGGCATAGAACGACATAAGTATTTCAAGTACCAAATGTGTGTGGTGTGGGTGAGAAGCATCGGGTAGCGCCCGGACCGGCGCGGGAACAGCGATTATCCACGACAGAGTGGGAGATAGCCACCAGCGGGAGAGAGAGAGAGAGCTGTTGTCCATCGAGAGAGGATGACTGATTGCAATAAGAGAAGAGTGGGGGAGACGGGACAGTGCATTGAAACGCAATTAAATAGGATCAAAAAACGATTAAAATTGTTTTTGTTCATTGCAAGCGATCAACAAAGCGCAGGGCGTGTGTAGCGTGTGTGTGTGTGTGGGTGTGGGAGTGGAGAGTGTGTTCTTTGTTCCCATTACTCGTGATTTGGCAATCGAGTTATTGAAAGTTAAAAGACCCCCGCCCCAACAGCCACAACAGCGGCAACACACGTCAGCGCATAAGCCTTGAAATCAAAAGCCCAACTTTTGCCCGGAACAAAAGCAAATAGCAACAAAACCAAACGAAAAGTGAAAGAGTCTCCAAGCATCGTACAGCAGCGGCAAAAATAATTAGCAGCACTTAAGCTTTTTTCCCAGAAAAAAAAAAAATATAATGGCATATTATAATTATAGTAAAAGTAAAACCAGAAAGTTAAACCGACGAAGTCTTTCGATCCCTGGCAGATCGATCTACATAATTTTGTTGTGGTTGGAAATATGACCATTATTTTGACCCCCACTGTTTGCAAGAGTTGCTCTCGAAATAAAAATAATCATTCCATTGTCTGGTTGAGAAAGAGAGAAGGAGACGTTGATGGTTTCGCCCAGCCTCCCTCCATCTCCTCTCCTGCCACTATAACGCGCTCTTGTTGTTTACATGCGTGACCACGAACCACGAAGGCAGACACCTTTCGGTGCCATTCACCTTCACTTTGATTTACAGTATTTTTGGAGTCTGTCTCTCTCGCAGATTTCCATTCAACATTTCTGCTCGATTATGCAATGGGTTTAGCTTGGCAAACTTAATGTTTGATCCACAAACCAATTTCAAATTCTTGTTTTCCCTTGAAATCCGCTTTGCGTACGTGCGGCGGCGACAAGAAACAAAAAAAAAATCAAACAAAATAAAAATATAAGTAAAGCTTATTCTCGCGCATAGCGAAAATAATTATGATTGCAATAAAACTGGTTTCCATTCGAATGCCTTTTTGGTCGCGTAGCGCAGCGTACACCAGCTGTGGAGTCTCCGTTTCAGTTTTCAATCTTTTTGCTCACTTTCATTTGACACGACGCGGAGTAAACAGAGAGAGAAGGAATTATGGAACAGCTAACGGTTGATGGTTAATGGTCCCACTGTGTAGCTATCCCACTCTAACACCCTTGTGCTGAGAGAATTTAAGGAAGTCGTTCCCCTTTACCGTTTACCGTTACTCTCTCACTACGGCTGCTGCATGGGTGCAGCAGTATGTATGAAACCATTCACTCTCACTTCTTTGCTTGCGGATATTCAGGGTATTTCCAGTATGTTTCTTTGGATAAGATATGTATATGTACATATGTATGTGTAATCATATATGTAGCTATCGCTGCCTTGCAAATTATTTCATTGGCATAAAGAAAATCCAAACAAAATGTAAAATATTAAATTAAATATAAATAAATATTTCCTGACTTTAAGATATCAGTTATCTGTAGGCTAACCCGTAATCTTTTCTCTGCCATAGATGCTTAAAAGGAGTCCTTAATTGTAGCATCCCCATGCACACAAGTTCATTCCAAACTACTAATCATACAGTTATAATTAGCCCCGTGATCAGCGTGAACTGGAAATGTTAGTTAGTTTTCTGTCGGGGTTTATTTGCTATTTGTTTCAGTTAGTGTTCCACTTTAACTTCCACTTGCACACTGGTAGTTCGGTAGTCGAAATTGGTCTTGTAAATTTGTTGGGTAAAACATATGTTTACCTGCCGATGCTTATCAGATGGGGCGAGGAGTCGCAGTGTCGATAAGTGACGACGACGATGCCGACAACGACACGACGTTGCTGCTTGGAAACAACACAAACAAAATAGGGCACGCAATTCAAATTGAAAATGTTCTAAAATTGTATCAACGAATCGCAGGCGATAAGATGCGAAAATACTTAAACGAACACCCACCCACACACCCCCACACCAGATACAAATACAGACCACACCCCCACACACGGCATTTCCCCCACGGAGATGACGACATACGATGATGATTAGCATTAATTGTCACTCTTCCAATGAAGATAGCAAACACTATATTATAGGGGATATAATCCTTCTCATTTTTCGAACCCCTTCATCGTCTCTGATTGACCTGCTAATTGAACAATGAACAAAGTTTTGGCCCATCGGAACTTTAGATTCTAGTATGTAATTATTATCTATTATACATATCTAGAATTAAAAATAATTAGTCACTCTTCTCAAGGAATTGAAATTGTTTGTAAACACTCTATATTTGAACTAAATTGTGATAAATACCTTCGAACTGACTTTTCAGTCTATACACGATCACGCCCTGGAAACAAAGACTACAACATACTCTTAATGGTATCTAATATTCCCAATCGAAAGATTGACCTGCATAAAACAAGGAACGGGATTAAGAACTAATGTTGTAAGGTAGTCGGGTGCTGAACCAACCCTGTACTTGGTTTTTTCCTATCAGATCGAGTTTTCACGATATCGTTATATCCGATTAAGGCACTTCCCTACATATAGTGGACTGCTAGAACCGTAACCGTATTCAGATAAAAAAAATCCAAAACTCGCCAACAATACTGTTTTAATGCCTACTGGTTTTGATTTGCCCAACGGATTTACCTTAAAATTAAACAGAAAAAAAAAAAAGATTCCGGAAACAAAAATATTTCTTGTTTAAAAATGAATACAAAAAATAATTGCCACAAAAGTAAAAGTTTTGGTCCAAAATCATTTAGATAAACATATTTTAGATGAGACTAACTATTTGAGTCAATAGTACCAGTTATAGTATTATAATGTACTTGTACTAATCAAATTAAGATTCTTAAATTAGAATTATTTTGCTTAATGGCATAAAATGACATAGAAAGCTAATAAAAGCACAATTGCCAATTACGAAAAGATGTACTAAACTGACTAAAAAAAAAACATAAACACTATTACGAGCCATGGTTGATTGAAAACTGATTAAAGTTTTTACGAATTGAGGTCGCTGATTTCAAATATGATCTGCATTCCATCAGTCGCGTTTTAAGTTACGAAATATTTTTGATTTTTTTCCAAAAATTTCAAGTTCAAAGAGGGAATACCTCATCGAACCTAGTATTTCATAATAATGTAACTGTCAGCTTTGCAAAACAATTAAATTTTTGAAAATCGAATGAGAAGTAAAGTTGACTGTTGAACTTTTATTGATGGAAAAATTAATGATACTATTATTTAACTAAAAAGAACTGAGTGGGGAGATAGATGTGAAATGGACCAAGTAAAAAACTTTAATCAGTTTTCATTAACACACAAAAACTTTTATTCCCGTGTAATTATTGATCATAGCCCTTAAATTTCTGCTCTGGAGAGGAAGACCCATCTCATTTGATCGTCATGCATTTTAAGAAAATTCGACAAATTTCACATTTTATTGGGGTAGGGTGGAGGGGAATCACTCGTACTCGTATTCGTATTCATTACAGAACTACAGAGCAGATGGCCAAAGAGATTCGCAATTTCAATTTTATTGCGGCATGGGCAACATAATAAAGCGGAGTACAAGCTAGCGAGCATGCAGCTGCTGCTGTTGCTGCTGCAGTGGGTGGGGGAGGGATGACAAGGTTGAAATATTATCTTATCGATGTCGGCTACAATTGCAAACAGCAACGATATTCCACGAACGGAAAGCGGGCCATGGAGGAGCGTCTGGGCTTTGGAGTGGCTTTCGCTTCAACTCCAGCCACATCACATGCCGATGCACACCACACAAATCCCTACCAGAAACAATCTCTGGTTGTCAATCCCGAACTCAGATGGAACCGGTTGGGCTGGAAGCATGCTCCAGTTTCCAGTTTCCCGTTTCCAGTTGCAGAGCCGGCATTGGGCCATTCCCAAGATTAAACCCCCCCATGTCTGGGCATAAAATAGATAACACCGCAGCAAGCAGTCTCTGATTCTGTGATGAAATTCTACTTCTACATACATACATATGTACATACAAATAATCGTGCATGGAAATGATCGTTGGCTTTGGTCGGTGCGGGGCGGGGCGGGGTGACGCGAGTGTGTGTATGTGCGTGCTTTAGATAAGGAACAATAACTAGTAAAAACTATGCAAATAGTAACGCCTTAAATAAATAGGGGACTGTATGTGGAGAGTGCAAGGTTTAATGTTTAATATTCACAATATTCCCCTTAACCTCGACTGTGCTTACTTTTATGGCTGGCATTGTTGGGAAATCGAACTGAACGTATGCCCAATTTGCACTGCCATCATTGTTGTTCTCGCGATGGATATACTAGTTGATGCAATTAACTGACATGTTAACTCAATTGTTTTTAAACGTTAGGCCAGGGCTACTTTAATGACCGCTAGTGTAATATAGAGAGTAAGATCCGATCCTCCACCCCACTGTGGCTGAAACCACCACAGCAACGGAAACAGAGAATATGCCCCAATGTAATGACCGCTACTGTAGACAAACTTCTGATTTATTCGCAAAATGGTTTTACCTGAAGATAATGCGACCCAAAGTTGAAGTTGTCCAGCATTTCTAATGCTTCTTCAACTTTATCAATTTACAAATTTTTTATTTAATTAATTTAAATTTAAAATGTTGTGTTTAATGTTCCAATTTGTGGTGGCTGCTGCTGTGCCACTGTAGCTGAATCCCTAAAAGCATATTAATGTGATGACCGCTACTGTAGATTCATTTCAGACTGTCGCTCTCTCTTTCTTAACCACACCCACACCTCCCTCGCCCACAGACAGCGCTTCATTCTCTCTCTTTCTCTTTGAACTTCAACCTACATCAACTTAATGACCACCACTGTAATAATGTATGAGAAATATTCACTTTTTATGCCCTCTACTGTCAGCGCTAGATGCAGAACCTGCTGCACTATTTTCGCCCACTATTGCAATTCATATACACACACACATACATTGACCGCTTCTGTACTCACTCGCTCTCACTCACTCTCTCTCGCTCTTTCTTCTGTTTGCAGGCAAGTTCCGCTACAGCACCGAGGACACGGGTCCGCGGAGCATCTGCGAGGCAATCGAGGGACTGGGATTCGAGGCCAAGCTGCTGACGGGCCGCGACAAGATGGCCCACAATTATCTGGAGCACAAGGAGGAGATACGCAAGTGGCGGAACGCATTCCTCGTCTCGCTGATCTTCGGGGGTCCCTGCATGGTGGCCATGATCTACTTCATGCTGGAGATGAACGACAAGGGGCACGCGAACATGTGCTGCCTGGTGCCGGGCCTCTCGATGGAGAATCTGGTGATGTTTCTGCTCTCAACGCCGGTGCAGTTCTTTGGCGGCTTTCACTTCTATGTGCAGTCGTACAGGGCCATCAAGCACGGCACCACCAACATGGATGTGCTCATCTCGATGGTCACCACCATCTCCTATGTGTACTCGGTGGCGGTGGTCATTACGGCCGTTCTCCTCGAGCAGAACAGCTCGCCGCTCACGTTTTTTGACACGCCGCCCGATGCTGTTGATCTTCATCTCGCTGGGCCGATGGCTGGAGCACATTGCCAAGGGCAAAACATCGGAGGCACTGTCCAAGCTGCTCTCCCTGAAAGCCGCCGACGCCCTGCTGGTGGAGATCTCGCCGGACTTTGACATTGTCAGCGAGAAGGTCATCTCCGTGGACTATGTACAGCGGGGGGACATACTCAAGGTGATACCTGGCGCCAAGGTGCCAGTCGATGGCAAGGTGCTCTATGGCCATTCGACCTGCGACGAGTCCCTCATTACGGGCGAATCCATGCCGGTGGCCAAGCGCAAGGGGGCCGTTGTCATCGGTGGGTCCATCAATCAGAACGGTGTGCTATTGGTCGAGGCAACGCACACGGGTGAGAATACGACGCTCGCGCAGATCGTACGGCTCGTGGAGGAGGCGCAAACGAGCAAGGCGCCCATTCAACAGCTGGCGGATCGCATTGCCGGCTACTTTGTGCCCTTTGTGGTGCTGGTGTCCAGCATAACGCTCATCGCCTGGATTGTCATTGGCTTCTCGAATCCCGATCTGGTGCCCGTCGCTATGGAGCACAAAATGCACATGGATCGCAATACGATAATTGTTAGCTATGCGTTCAAGTGTGCGCTGAGTGTCCTGGCCATTGCCTGTCCCTGTGCGCTGGGCCTGGCCACACCCACAGCCGTAATGGTGGCCACTGGCACCGGAGCCATCAACGGTGTGCTGGTCAAGGGTGCCACTGCACTGGAAAATGCACACAAGGTAGGCTCTATCTAGATACTAGATGCTAGAATATTTCCTCGTCGAATGGCTACTAAATCCCGAATTTTCTGCCCCCTTTTTCAGGTGAAAACTGTGGTGTTTGACAAGACGGGAACCATCACCCATGGCACACCGATGACCAGCAAGGTGACCCTCTTCGTGCCACCCCAGGTGTGCAGCCTGGCGCGTGCTCTGACCATTGTGGGCGCTGCCGAACAGAATAGCGAACATCCCATTGCCTCGGCCATTGTGCTGTTTGCCAAGGATATGCTAAACGTGGGAGCCGTTGCCGCTGCCCAGCAGGGCGGTAATTTCGGCAAGAGTTCCCATTTCCAGGCAGTGCCCGGCTGTGGCATTCGCGTGAGCGTCTCCAACTACGAACAGACGCTGCGGCAGGCCTGCAATGCGGAGCGGATCATCAACTATGAGAATCTGTACCGCCAGCATCCGCAGAGCTCCATCAATGTGGATAATGGGGCCAGTGTGGAGCATTTGATGCCACAGCGGGATGTGCGCAAGTCCATGGAAGTGGCACAACAGCAGCTGCTGGCCCTCGACGGCGTTGTCGGTGTGGAGCAGAAGCTGATCGACGGCCCGGAGATCAATGTGCTGATTGGCAATCGCGAGTGGATGCAGCGGAATGCCATCGAAGTGCCGCTCGAGATTGGCGACTGTATGACGCACGAGGAGCGCAAGGGACACACGGCAGTGCTGTGCGCGTTGAACGGGCAGCTGGTGTGCATGTTTGCCGTCTCGGATATGGTCAAGCCGGAGGCACATTTGGCCGTCTACACGCTCAAGAGTATGGGCATCGATGTGGTCCTGCTGACGGGCGACAACAAGAACACGGCAGCGAGCATAGCCAGAGAGGTAGGATCCTGCCATAAAAAGAGTCCGACATCCTGTATCCTAATTAATGGTTGCTACTTTTTATAGGTGGGCATTCGCACTGTTTATGCCGAGGTGCTGCCATCCCATAAGGTGGCCAAAATCCAAAGGATTCAGCAGCGCGGCATACGCGTGGCCATGGTCGGTGATGGCGTAAACGATAGCCCAGCGCTGGCGCAGGCCGATGTGGGCATCACGATAGCGGCGGGCACAGATGTGGCTGCCGAGGCCTCGGACATTGTCCTGATGCGCAACGATCTGCTGGATGTGGTCGCCTGCCTGGATCTCTCGCGGTGCACAGTGCGTCGCATACGCTATAACTTTTTTTTTGCCAGCATGTACAATCTGTTGGGCATACCGCTGGCCAGCGGCCTCTTTGCCCCGTACGGCTTCACCCTGCTGCCGTGGATGGCCTCGGTGGCCATGGCCGCCAGTTCGGTGAGCGTTGTATGCTCCTCGCTGCTGCTGAAAATGTACCGCAAGCCAACGGCCAAGACACTTCGAACGGCCGATTATGAGGCGCATCTGGCCGCCGAGCGGGCGCGTCGCAATGGCTCCTCCTCGGAGTCGGAACTGGACAATCTGTCGCTGCATCGCGGACTCGACGATCTGCCCGAGATCGGTGGCAAGCGGTTGGCCTTCAAGCGCTCAAACACTTCGCTCATTTCGCGTATTTTCATGCAAGGCAACGGCGGCATTGGCGGCCACTCATCGACGGACAAACATGAGGAGGGGCTGCTCGATGCCGACGACCAGTACGACGGACTCACCAAAATCGTGAAGAGTCGATACCTCAGCGACAGCACAGAGCTTCAAAAGCTGTGAGTGCGACGGGATGGGATGGAACTGAAATCCGCACAGGCCACAGGACAAAACAAATTTGCAGTGTAATAATAATTGTAAAGTAAAAAATGAAATGAAATGGAAAAAAAAAAAAAACAACAACAACGAGACATTATAATACACATGTGGTATATAGTATAAACAAAGTACATAGAGAGCATATACATGCATGCATATAAGCCGAATGTTTATTCAATTTTTGTATTCACCATCAGCCTCCATTGATACCCCTTCCCCGGCCCACATTCTGCCACAGCGATTCCCCCCCCCTCCCATCATAGAAATTGTTGTATATCCCGCTCGTTATTTTTTTTTCCTCCAAGAAGCCTGTGGAACATCTCTTCCTTTCTGACCCATCATTATTACATACATATATGCAAGCATTAGCCTTTGTATTTTTTTTTTTTTTTTTTTTTTATATCGTAGCTTTATTGTACTATTATTAAGTTGATCTGAACAGAGGAAAGGAAGGGTCGAAAGAGACATCAAAGACATGAAAACTATTGTTACTTATTGTTAATTTGCACCGATCATTAAACCATTAATTAATTAATTATGTATGTACATCTGTTGGCAAGGCAGCAAACACAGATATTGATGAAAGCATATTGCATTGGGCTACATCCAAAGGGAAAAGGGTTATAGTTCTTAGCTACAACCCAAGGAATATTTCACATTTTGGCACGTACGAATGGAATGCTAAAACTTTGAATTGAACCAACTGGAAGAGACGCTACTGGAACGAACCAATCTCCTGCAATACAAGGAGTATGCCACATTTCTTAGGACATGGCAAGGCAACGCTAGTGTTGTTGTAGCATACAGAGGATTATCCAATTGAATATAATTAATTTGATACAGAGAAACAACATTCGAGGCCTTTCTGCAAGGAGTTTCTCTACAATTCAAGCAGATTATACCAAAAATAGTTACCTATGCCAATGGGCTATGCTTTGGACATGTGCAAATCAGTGGAAATTTTAAATACAACCCAAGGAAATTGTTGCCACGTGAACGATTAATCCCCTGGAAGCCAAAATGTGCGGCATATTGGTTTCTGAGAGCATATAGGGAAGCGGCCCGTGGGCACGATTTTGGAGCTTGGGAGCAGTACAGCAAACTCAACCTATGAGCGATGCTCGGTGCCACACATGCGGCGTGAATTTTGTTATTGCATTCTGGGGACAGACAGACCAAGTGGCTTCGGTTGCCAAAAAATATAAAACTGAATAATCAGATGTTCCGAAAGCAAACAGTTTATTGTATTTCTTCTTGTTTTGTTTGGACTGTTTGCTCATCAGTCATGAGCAGAAAAATATGTCGGATCTGCCATCTGCATCATGAGGACGTGGCCGTTGCGCATACCCAGACTCTCGGGTGTGTCCCCGGCGTTGATGATGTTCCCATTGTAGAGGAAGCGCATGGCGTCCATGGCGACATTTGCACGCATTGTGGCAGCGCGCATAAATTGAAAGAACTCGGTGGTTTTTTCAACAATGAAAAAACCAAGCTCAATATTATCAGCGACCACTTTCAGCATAATGCGTTCTTGGTTGGACATCTTGTTGTAATTTCTGGCTGTGGATAAAGGGCGGGCAAGAGCATTATTCTATCAGTATCGCCGTTGCACATGCGCCTCTGCAGGTTTTGCTACTTACTTGTATATCAAAATCAATTAAATAAATGATAAAGTACGCCTGAAACGCTTGATTATTTCTTTTGCAATATATATCCAGGAACGACAGAGCTTCAAGATGGCGACGTCTGGCTTCGATTTCTGCCGAATGCGACCCTGTCGACCGATTTGTAAATATCGCATGAGCCGACTCATTTGCGGTTTGTTTTCTTTGCTTTTCTGCAGCTAACGACTTTAATTCAATTAGAATATTTAAAAATCCATTCAACTTTTTGCACTCCACGCGTTCCACAGACGGCTCCAGACGTTCCACACGTTAACGGTTTTTGAGCTTTTCGACCGTTCGATATGTGGTGAGAAATACTGATAGTGTGCCATCGATAGTTATGTCAAAATGAGAGTCTTTCTTTCAAACATAAAATCTGCGAGCGTATTCACTTTTATATTTTCACTTGCTGGCTGCAAACAGAAATGGCCCTGAACATAGAACTCCATGATCTAGATCAGTCGGTAAAAGACAATAAATCGTACAAGTAAGTGTGCCCAAATGTGGGTAGGGTAGGGTAGGGCAGCCTGATTGAATCGTACTTGTAGGTCCCTGGTGCTGCAGAATGGTCTGCGTGCGTTGATCATATCGGATCCCAATCTGGAGCCCGGCGGTGAGGCCTACAGCTACAAGACGGCTGCCCTGGCCTTGACGGTGGACTGTGGCTCATTCAAAGATCCGCCCAAATATCGCGGCCTGGCCCGCGTCCTGGAGCATCTGCTGCGCACGGACGAGATATTTACGCCGCATGTGCAGAAATGTGGCGGCGAGAGCAACATCCGCACCGATTGCGAGGAGACAATGTTCTACTTTGAGGTGCCCGAGACGCACCTGACCTCGTGTCTGTTGCACCTGACGGCGCTGCTGCTCAAACAGGACACGCTGGAGCGTGAGCGGCTGCCCAATATAGAGGATCTGCAGCGCAATGTCGAGGACTACAAAATGCAGAGGAATAAACTGCTGGCCAGCCTCGCCAGCGACGACTATCCGCACGGGCTGTACGATTGGGAGAACTTGGCAGAGCTCAAGGAGGAGGATCCCGAGGATGCATTCGCCACGATGATCCAGAAGCTGCGACGCGACAATTATGTGGCCAATCAGATGCACGTTTGCCTGCAGGCCCGCCTGCCCCTCGACGAACTGGAGCAGATGATCTACCGCCACTTTGCCGTGATACCGTGCAACGACAACGAGTCGACAGATCTCACTCAGAGCTTCGATTATCGCAGCGCCTTTCGTGCGCAGTTCCACGAGCATGTGTTCTATGTGAACTCCACGGACGACAAATGCCTGCTGGAGCTCACCTGGCTGCTGCCCAGTGTCTGGCAGTATTATCACAGCAAGCCGGAGCGATTCGTGGCCTTTCTGCTCAGCCAGGAGGGGGCTGGCAGCCTGTGTGTGTACCTGCAGCGTCGCCGCTGGTCGGTCCATCTGGTGGCGGGCATCGACGATAATGGCTTCGATCTAAATTCCATCTATTCGCTGTTCAAAATATCCATCCAACTCACCGCCGAGGGCTGCAAGCACATCGATGAGGTGCTGGCCGCCACCTTTGCCTACATAAAGCTGATCGCTGCCACGGAGCCGCAGGTGCTGCGGCAATTGTATGACAAACAGCAGACAATTGAGGAAACCAAATTCCATTTCCAGGTCAATCTTGCGGCGGTGCATAATGTGCAGGATCTGGTGCTGAATAGCAAACATTATCCGGTGAAGGATGTGCTGACAGCCGGGAAGCTCTACTACGAATACGACCAGCAGCAGCTGTCCGAAATGATTGGATTTCTGAACAAAATGGACTTCAATCTGGTGATTATCAGGTCGGGGGATACTGCGTCCGAGGACAGCACGCCCATGCCCGGCAAATGGCAGCAGTTGTGGCGGGAATCGAAGCCCATTGAGGAGCTGTGTCTGCCCGAACCCAATCGCTTTGTGGCCGAGGATTTTACTATCTTTTGGCTGGAGCAGGGCCAACCGGAGCTACCGTCGCGCCCCACGAAGTTGATACAAACGAGAGTCTGTGAGCTGTGGCACCGACTGGATGACACATTCGCTCAGCCCAAGGCCACCATGTCGTTCTATTTTATATCCCCGCTGCAGCGTCAGAGTGCCCGGAAGTAAGCCAGGCAATCCTTGAGCCAATTCGGTGTCCCAAACTAATCTATCTCCCATCTATTCCTCGCAGAGAGGCCATGTGCTCGTTGTACGTCAACTTGGTGGAGGGGCAGCTGGTCGAGCAGATTTATCCGGCGGCCATTGCGGGTCTGCGCTATGCCTTCACCGTCGGCGAAAAGGGTCTCGTCCTCAAGGTGCGTGGTTACAACGAGAAGCTCCATTTGGTGGTGGAGGCCATTGCCCAGGCGATGGTGAATGTTGGCGACACCGTCGAGGACTGGATGCACACAGACTATCGTGACAATTTGCGTGAGTTTCATTTCTATGAACTGGTCAAGTCGCGGCTGCTTTGCAGGTAAGAGAGAGTGAGAGAGAGAGAGAGAGAATCAATTTACTCGTTAATTAACGAGATGGTCGTGCACGTACCCCCTTTAGGGACATTCGCCAGTGTGTGCTCAAGGAGTCTCGTTGGCTGTGCATCGACAAGTACAAGAGCATCAATGGCATCAGTTTGGATGACTTCAAGGCATTTGCACGAAAGTTCCGCGAGGAGCTGTACATTCAGGCCCTCATCGAGGGCAACTACACGGCGGAGTCGGCCACCGATGTGATGAATGACGTGATCAGGCGCCTACAGTGCCGTCCCATTCGAGAGCCCCGCTTTCTGGAGGATCGGGTGAAGGAACTGCCACTGGGCAGCCACTGCATCCGCTGTAGGGCCCTCAACGAGTGCGATCCCAATACGGTGATCATGAACTACTATCAGATCGGGCCGAATACGATGCGCATCCAGAGCCTGCTCGACCTGATGATGATCTTTCTGCAGAATCCCATCTACAATTATCTGTGCGCCCAGGAGAAGCTCTGCCACTATGTGTTTCCCAAGGTGCGCCTCTATTACGGCATTATTGGCTACTCGATAACCGCCTCGTCGAAGCATACGTTAAAGGAGGCCAGTGGTCTGGAGCAAGCCATGGATAAGTTCCGCCTCAAGATGCTGCAGATACTCAAGAAAATGTGCAACGAAGAGTTCCTGCGCACCAAGGAGAAGGTCATTGCGGCGAAGCTTGCCCCGGACGAGGACCTGACCATCGCATCGGATCGCCATTGGGAGGAGATTGTCAATGGCGACTATCTGTTCGATCGCAATCAACAACTGGCCGATGCCCTGCGCAATCTAACCAAAAACGAAATGTTCAGCTTCCTGATGCACACCGACGCTGCCAATTTGCGCAAACTTTCGATTCAGGTGATTGGATACTCGCCGACCGAATGGGCCAGCGGCTATTCATCGGATAAAACCAATTGCAGCAGCGATGCCTTCTTCGAGACCACTCAGACGCCAAGTTCTGCTTCAGAGGATGCATTGGGCTATAGGGATGTGGATGAGGAAGAAAGTCTGTACGAGGACTTGGGCAATCGAGTGAGCCTTGTGTTCCTGCCCAGAGACGGCGGCACTATGAACACCATTGTGGATATTGATGACTTCAAGACGAGCCTCGATTCATACCCACGCCGCAAGTTGTTGCCTGAGAACCAAGAGAATCAACGTACCGCGCGCTTGGAGCTGGCGCTTAGACGCTCCGCCGCACGATTTCAACCCAATTAGTTAAATTTCAGTTTTTACCAATTCAGTTCAAATGAAATGTTAAATATAAAAACAAAGACAATCTTCCACCTCTACAGAAAACATACAAAAATAACATAGTACCTGAACGAAACAAATTTGTGATCCAGAATAAAATGAAACATTATTAGGCACTGCATAAATGGTAGGCAACCAACAAATGTACGTAGGTAAATACTGTACATTACTAAACCTAAACATAATAATAGAGACTTACATTATATTTTGTTACCTGTGCAGTTGATAGCCCTGGCAGCTATCACTGAGCTTAATATTAAATAAATGAGGTAATGAAATCTTGAATCGCTCTTCTAATATTCGTGAAGGAAAGCAGCTAACTCTTCAGCGAACCATTAAATTAAATTCAATTCCATAAGCTTCAGGCTAATGCACGTGAGCAGACAATGCGTCAAGACAAGCTCAAATGCGTAGATGATAAACGTAGAATAAAATCCACGCAACCAATTTTACATTGTTTCGTCTGCATATGACATGTGCGGAAGTGTGCAACATTCGTCAGGACTGTGGATGACAGGCTGCAGCCTGACGCAATTCAGGCGCGTGCGTGCCCCAAAAGTGCGTCATTCAGTCAGTGTCAGCGCCTTACACAGGTTCTTCTTCCTACGCATCCTGCCCGCAATGACGCTAAGAAAACAAACGAAAATTTTGCCAAATATTATGGGGCTAATGCGTTTCAGATTACACCCTAAAATATTGCCTTCGAAAGTTTCCACTGCCCATGCAGGCCCTCCAATTAGCTTACACAGGACAATGTCAAGAAAATAAATGAAATGGTGTTGGCTGACCGACAAGTAAAGTGTGCCAGCTTGCAGATGCCACAAGGATTATTACTGAGAGGACATGCCATTTTTTGAGCGAGATTCCTGGGCATTTGCAGATTCAAAGACACGACGAAAGAGTGTTGGGGCCCGGCACCAAATTGCTTCCCTCTCCCATTTTCGCCAAAGTTGGCTTCCTCTGATTGTTATTATCACTTCCCACCTAGTAGTAAATAGTAGCTCTTTTTCGTTCTGCATTCAGGTTCTTTTGTTTATTTGTAATTATTTATTTAAAAAAAAAAATAAAAACACTTAAACTAATGCTTATAACATAAATAGATCCCAAAATTTAATCAAATATTGTTTTTGTTTTTTCTTTTGCATAATTACTATTCATTTTAGGTAATTGGTTTCTTTTCTGTGTGTGTGTGTGTGAGTGCGTGTATTTTGTTTTTTTTTTTTGCATTACAATTACAATTTAAATGTCAATTCGATTTGTATAGACTGATTTTCCCCCTTTTCTTTTTCGTGCTTGAAGTCCGTTTTGTCCTGTCCTTTTTTTATATCTGATGATGCTTTTTAAAGCTGTTTGCAAATACCCTTTTGCAGCAGGGTGTGGTGTGTGGGGGTAGAGGCCATGAGCCCTACGAATTATTACAGAATGGTTTCAATATGTGAATAAAATAATTCATTCACATTAAATTTCCAATCGAAAAATTACAAAAAAAAATATATCATCTAAAAACTATGTGGAACCGTGGCTTGGAACAGATTTCTGTCGTTTTTTTGGGTTTTGAAAATACTTGTTACTGCAAAGGGTATTTTAACTTCGAGCTGCCTGCCGAACGTATGCGGCGGCATTCATGCGATTTTGTTGTTTGTTCCTCTTTTTCCTCTTTTTTTTGTTATGTGGTGCATTTTGGCTTGTCTATTGCTTTGGTTGGGCAGCGGTTGGGAGACGGACACCAAACCGAACCAGCAGCTTGCCGCCGGACTCACAAATCGTGTATCTATGTTATGTATCTTTTACATATGGATTAATAGCAAACTGGGAAGGATATGTATTCGGGCTATGGCGCTGGCTACTGGCGGAGTTCAAGCAACTGCGAGGACTGGTGCAGGAGGGGGCTGGCTATGAGAGAGACCGAAAATCATCCATCTACTTGGTGGGTATGAAGCGCGCCTTGACCGCCTGACCCATGGACAGATGTAGATGCTGCTGCTGCTGTTGCTGCTGCTGCTGCTGCTGCTGTTGCGCCTGTTGTTGCGCCTGCTGTTGCATGTGCTGGTTGATCTGCTGTTGGATGGAAAGGCCACTGGCACTGCTGATGATATGCTGGCTGTGTAGAGGCTCATTGATCTCAATCTTAATAGCCGTGGCGGCCAAGGTGCCGGTCGTCTTGTTCTTATTCTTCGGCGGACGTCCACCTACAGAAACAAACAAACAAAAAGGTTAAAAGAGTCCTTAAGAATGTTGAGAGGCAACTACTTACGCTGTCCCGTCGTGTGCTGCAGCGAAAGCGGCTGGCCGATCATCGCCAATGGCTGTTGTGGCGACTGCAACGTGACAGTCTTCTTGGAGCGCTTCGGCGGCGGTAGCTCGTGATGGGAGTGATTTGTGAGCAAATGCTTGGACAGGTGCTGGCGTACGGCAAACGATTCCGTACAGTTGGCCACCGGACAACTGAGATACCGACCCTCGACATGCCGCTGCACATGCTTCTTCAGCAGCGACTCCTGGTTGAAACTGCTCGGGCAGATGTCGCACTTGAACTTGAACTCGTCGTGCATCTTGAGGTGCTGGTCGAGGTGGGCCTGCTGCAGGAACTTCTCGTCGCACTTGCCGCACTCGTAGGGGAAGGCCAGACCGTGCGACTTCATGTGCGTGTGCAACTGTGACTGCTGCTTGAAGCTCTTGTCGGGACAACGCGGACAATAGTAGCCGCTGACGCCGGCATGCGCCTGCAGGTGCTGATTTAGTGAGGTGACCTGCGTGAACTTCTTGTTGCATACGTTGCAGCAGTACTGCTGCACCTTGTGGTGTGACTTCATGTGGTTGTTGAGGTTGGTCACCTGCAGCAATTGAAGGAGTTTTTAGAATTGGATTTTAATTTTCAGATTTGGGGTACGGGATATGGGATATGGCTGGCTCACCTGGGCAAAACTGCGTCCGCATTCGGGCTCATTGCAGACGAAGGGCCGCTCGCCTGTGTGCAGCCGCCGGTGATTATTTAGGTTCGTGATCTGTGTGAAGGTCTTGCCACAGTCGACGCACTGGTATGGACGATCGTTCGTGTGGATCCGTTCATGATTCCGCAGATTGGCCGCCTGGGTGAAGCCTTTGTGTCAAAGAAAGAAGAGTTCAATCGGTAGTACGAATGGGTAGGATGTGGTAGGTAGAAGGTAGATTGGTGGTATATCCCGCACACACTTACCTTTGTTGCAGTAGGTGCATACAAATTTACGCTCCGCCGAGTGGTTCCGTATGTGCGTCATCAGCGAGGATTTGCGCGAGAACGTCTTGTTGCACAAGGGGCAGGAGCCCTCCTCGTTGAATATCAGATCCACCTGTGACACGGGCGAGAGTGGGAAAAAGACACATATGCAGTAAGTAAGTGAGTGCGCGAGAGGGACAGAGGCACGAGTGTGAATGGGTGGTGAAGTTTAACTATCAGTTTTTGCAAGCACTGTTGCAATCGCTCGCTTGCTCGCTCACACGAACACAAACAGAACTCAGAACTCACGCTCAACAAGCTGGCGGCCAAAAATATGGACTGCAAATCCCCGTGTAAATTCAGTTTGTTTATTTCTAATTGTTCTCCCTGTTGCAAGTCTAAAATTATATTTTTTTTCTGGTTGACTCTGTGTTGCTGCATGCCACGCACTGCATGCCACACACCCGCACACAGAAAGCGTCAATCGAAAAGTGAACTTTTTCCGCCTTAGATTTACACACAGCGCGCACAGAAAACGCTGAGCGTCGACGCTGGCATCGACAGAGCGCAGATATTAATGAAAAAAAAGAAGAAAAAAAAAATAACCATATATATGTATAAATATAAATATAAAGGAAAACAAGAAAATGAGCAGTCATGTGCACAGCAAGTCGAATAGTGAATACCCTCACAATGCAATTGGCACGCGACTCGACTCAAAATGTCCTATTGACGGGCGGTAAGAACTTACAGGAACTCCCCCGTTACATAAATGCAAATACTTATGGACATACGGACTTATCTGTTTTAACAAATTACAATGCAGAATTAATTTTTTGAACAATATGTATTCACCCCACATTAATGTATTGGAAGGGTATTCGATGGATCATATTGCCAAAATATTATTTCTGCAGAGCAGAGCTCAGTTGCATGGTGGAAAAAGAAAGGCACAAGAACAGGCAAAGAAACGGGGAAAAAATAAGAAGTGGGTGAAGAAGAGAAGCAGAAGAAGGAGCCGAGGCGACGAATGTGCAAGCAAATGTACACATGTATTTCTATATGTATGTATATATGTTTGCACATATGTGTGCGAATATTTATGTGCTGCTGCTGATTCTTGTTTGTTTGTATGTGTGGGAGTAGCATGTGCAGTTATGTGTAAAGGGGAAAGGAAAACAACAAGAAAAAAACATAATAATAAACAGTCAAATGCAAGGTGTATTTATGTTAGGTGAGGAATTCCCGCTCTCATGAGTTGCATATTTTGTTGCTTGATCTGTCTTTATCTTCGTTTTAAGCAAAGAATAAAAGCAAATGAAACGAAATAGTCAACTTTTGGAACAAAAACTTCGTGTGAATGCTTCCCCTTACATCAATACACCTTGGGCAAGTGCAGCCGAAGGAGTCCTATGTAGATGCGTGTGTGGGAGGATAACGTTTGCCAACACTGTCACATTTAGACAGAGAAATCGCTATCTGTCTCGCTTTTATCAGCATAAACTTACATCTTCGGAATCGTCCTGCGATTGTAGATTCTCGGAAGAGCTCGATGATTGTATTTGTTGTTGCTGTTGATGTTGCTGCTGCTGGTGTAGCTGCAGCACTGCAACGGCAGCGGCATTACTGCCGTTCGTCAGCTGCTGCGCCACTGCAGCAACGTCGCTATCACTGGACGTCGATGACGATGCGACGGCGGCGGCAGCGGCTGCTGCAACGGCTGCCGATACGGAAACAGCAGTCGGAGCACCTTCTGCCCCCCGCACTGCTTGATGGAAGTTTGAATTGTTTGTCAGCTGTTCAGAGCAGCGTACGCACGTGGGTATGCTATAGCCGGGCACTTGGAATAACTGTGGATTAGAAAAGGGAGGGAGAGAGAGAAAGAGATGAGTATCCAATTGGACCAAAATGGAAAGTGCGTTTTGCCTTTTCTTTTCGCTTTGATAACAACAAAAATGTAATAATCATAATACGTTTTATTTATTGTATCCCTCCACCCATCTCATCAACATCTCATCAACAAACCAACCGGGCACCAACACATTTATTCCCCCGCCTCACACAAAAAATATCAAGCAAGAAGATAAACACACACGTACACACACATACACACTATGTGCTGGCAGCGACAGTTCAAGTTATAGTAGTTGGCAGGTAAGGAGATTCACAAGAACGTAAAAAATTAACTTATGCTTTTCAGCAGCCTAGCGGCACCGCCTCACCTTCCATTTAATATACTTTGCGCAAGTAATTTTGTTGCTGTTTTCATTTCATGTTATTTCATTTTCCTTCTTCTTCGTTTTTTTATTCTTTTGCTTTTTGTGTTTTGTTTTGACTCTGCCAACGTCGAGTGCAGAGGCGTACGACCTGAAAGCACTAAACAAGGGGATTCTTTGGAAGCGGAGTTAAGGTTTTTATACTGTTGTTGCAACAGTTGCCAGTAGTTAGACAGATTCATATTGGATCATACATTGTTGGTTACCCCTGTGCCGCTGTCACTGTGTTTCTTTATGTGTGGTTGATGGTGGAAGAGCGGGACGTGTGGGGGGGACAGTGGAACAGAGAGGTAGGCAGAGAGGTGAAAAGGAGTCAAAGTGAAAAGTAAGCAGGCCAGCAGCGCAGGCAGTGCGCAAGAAAAATGTAAAAATAATATTTTTTCAAGTTGTCGGCTTGAACAACTTTTTTTTGTGTCTAAAAATAAATATGTTCGGCAATAGTTTTTTGGGGTCGCATATGTGTGTGTATGTATGTATGTAAATACATACATGTGTGCGAGCGATCAAAACTTTTGCCTGTGAATGAGAGACGCAAACGGAAAGCAATGCGCGCGCTTTTCAACCCCCACCCAATGGCCAACCATAAACAGCACCTAAGCAGTAGCCGCAGCGGCAGCGGTTGCCGGCAGAGCTGAATCCCGCACAATTTTTCAATTGTTTAAACTCCTCCTCCACCACATCAACATTCCCCCACACACCTTTGCAAGCAGTGAAAATCAATAACTAAAATTTAATAATTTCTAATCCTACCCAGGCAACCACTTACCGTTGCTGTTTGAAAGCAGAGCCTACAGATGGTGTCCATGACGCTGCTTCTCCTCCGCCTCTTCCATCAACTAAAGTTACCGGTTGGAATTTATTTACTTCACTGTTCCGATTTTTTGTTTTCTCTCACAGAAATAATATTAATATTGCTTTAAAAAGTTCACCTAAAAAGTGAGTGATCGGCCCGTTTCCTTGCAAGAATTTGATATAACAACAATTTGGTTGTGGTTTTTTTTTTACACAAAAACAATAGCACGCTTGCTGCTCTTCTTGTTTCTGTTGTTGCTTTTGCTTCTCTCACTTCTTCCCTTTACCGTTGTTTGTGATTGCCTTGCACTTGCACATGCCACTGTTCTTGTTGTTGCTTTCGAGTTTGCTCCGCTCCGTCTTTTTGTTGCTTAATTTTGTTCCTTTTCGGCGTAGGGTTACAATCACACAAAACAACCAACAAAATAAAAAAAAAGCAGCACTCTTATTCCTTTTTTGTATTTTTTTTCGCTGTATGTGTGTGTATGTGGGAGAAAAGAAAAAAATGAAATATTCTCTGGTGCTGCTTTAACACACGCGATTTTGTATAGTGCTGGCCTTGTCTGAATAAGGCCCTGAGACCTGTCCTCCGACGTTTACCAACACTCCAAGCGAATGCGCAACAGCTGGGCGCGCAGTTTAAAATTTTTAAATGTTTCTTGGCAAGTACGAGCGTTTATAACAAATATTATTGATAACAAGAAAAAAAAATATATAAAGTATTTGAAGTACACAAAACACTTGGAAATTACTTATACATATTTACATAAAATAACATACAGTAAAATGTGAAATTTAAATTGATTGTGAACCATCAAATGCAATAGACAAATGTCCAGAAGAACATGTTAAACACCAGAAAGGCCACAGGGAACACAAAACGAGCACGACTATCGATCCACATGGCAATTTCCTGCGGTGTCAGCGTGGTCCAGCCAGTAAAGTCCATCTCTTCCGCTCCAATGCCAATGCCAATGCCCTCCGATCGATTGTTGTTGTACATCTGAGAGGTGGCAGTTTCGCTCAGAGCCGCCGCCGGCTGCCCAGGTGGTGGTGGTACAGCAAAGGCGCTCTCCACAAAGGATATATCCATCTTCTGGCTGGAGGTGCTCATGGCCTGGCCGCTGCTCTTCCGCTTATGGCTGGCGAAGCCCTCGCGCCTTTGGCCCATCACCTGACCCTCTGTGATCGTGGTGATGGGCAAATTCACAGTCAGATAATTGTTGAAGCCAGCCCCGGCCAGCGAACTGGTGTCCGGCTGGCGGGCCATGCCCGAGAAGGAGCGCGAGCGGGCGTGACTGCGGCGACGCAGCAAATGGGGCGACAGCGTGGACTTGAGGATGTGCTTGCTGTTGAGCTTCTTGAGGGGCACATTCTGCTTGCGCCGCCAGATGGTGTTCACAAAAGCAAACTCCACCATGCTGCCGAATATGAAAATGGTGCAGCCGAGGAACCACACCTCCGAAACCTTGATGTAGCTCACCTTGGGCAGAGTTTTGCCTGGCAACGAATGGAATGGAAGAGGTATCGGTATCAGTACTCAGTTGATCCTGCCCTTAATCAAGGACAACCCTGTCTGTGACCCAATGCCCCTGCTCACCCTGCGCCGAGGCCAGCGTTATGAAGGTTAGCATGGTGCTGGTGCCAAGCGTTATCCTGGGCGGAGCCTGGTCCGCCTGCAGCCAGAAGGACACCCACGATATGGCCACAATCAGCATCGAGGGAAAGAAGTAGTCCATCAGGTAGAAGCCCACCACTCGCGTAAGGTGGACGGTAAAGCTCAGCGAGCTGTAGTTGCCGGCAAAGGCGCCATGCCGCAAATCACTGAGATCCGCGTTGATCACCGTCTCATTGGACCAGGAGCGCTGCAGCAGGAACTCGGTTAGGTGCAGGGCCGGATCGTAGGTGATCGGTCGCTTCTGCTCCCAGTGCAGTACCAGCTCCGAAGTATTGTACATCCAGCTCTCGAGCACCGTGGAGCAGTCCTGCTCGTCAAAGGGGAACTTCTTCAGGTTCAGCCAGCAGTAGAGCGTGGCCTTGATGCGGTTCGAGACAATGACAGTGCCGTCCGGCGAGATCGAGGTGAGAATGTCCTTCTCCGTGGTGCCTAAGGTGCGAGAGAGAGAGCATTAATTGGGCAATGGCCATGCATATGCAGCCACCCAACCCACCCAAAATGCTGGAGTCACGCTCGTTGGCCAGGAAGATGTGCGGCATCCAGAGAGAGTCGCGCAGCTGCTGCTCGCCGAGGATGGGCTGCCGCCGCTTGGGGCTGACATTGCGAAAGTTCAGCCGCGGGTCGAAGTAGCGCATCTGCAGCAGGGCGTATATCTTGAACTGCAGATCGTGGGCCTCCAGGTTCTGCATAAAGTAAATGTACGCGCGCATGTAGACGTCCACCGGGAGGCGTGTGCCCGTCTCCGTGTAGGTGATGGGGCGCTCCAGGCGATCGTATCGGCAGCCGTGAGTCAGGCGGTCCAGCAGCTGTGTCTGCGACAGGCTGTCGCCGTCGGCTAGCGTGGGGCACTCCTCGTCGAAGGAGGCACTCTCCCCGCCCTGCAGGCAACTGATCAAAATGGAGATAATCAGCGACCAGTTCATGGCACTGGCACGGTACAATTAAACGGACACAAGACAAGGAAAAAGCCACGCTAAAAATTAATTTTACTCTAACGGTTAATGTAATATGGCTGCCCTGCCCGGCAAGTGTTGGCTAGCGTAAATAAGCTAATACAAAGGAAGGAAAATATAAAATGAAAAATATTACTGAGTGTTGCACATACTTACGATACGTAGGAAAAGCTACAGTCTGGCAATTTAAAAATGTTGATAATATCAAACTAGCTGTAACTCCTCAAGTGGGGCGCCTAACAGCGTTAACAGTGCGTTCATTACAGAGAGCTGTTGCGCTTAACATTCACATGTTAACTGTCGAAAGTCTGCTCTTAACAGTACTAATGTTGCGCATAACAGCCCTAGCACTAAAGCACTTTACAGCACTATCGTGCGACTGGACTGTTGCGCGCGCTATTTGAAATGCTAAAATTCAAACACTGCTGCCCCTAACGCTTTTTATTGAGTTTATTTTGCTGCTGCAGTTGTCACAAATATACATTTACTTAAACATTTACAAAGTTTTTCAAGTTTTCTGTTTTTTTTTTTCATTTTCTTGTATGACTTACTTTTTTATTGTTGTCGCTTTACTATAATTTCTGTTGTAGTTTTTAAACATTTATTTATTTAAATTTATGAATTTGAATCCACTGATAATATGTATGCATAGTTTACTTGTTTTCTCGTTTACTTTACTTTGAGTTTCTGCTTATTGCAATTACAAAAAAAAATTCATTTACCCATGGGCATAATTAGTACATACATACATACATATGTATATATTTTGTATGTTTCTATATGCTGTATATTTGTATATCGTATCGTATATTTAGTACATTTATTTATTTAATTTTACTAAGCATGAGTTACGTATAAAATATGTGTTTTGTTTTGTTTTATTTTGTTTTTTTTTTGGTTGTCGATTATGTGTATGGGTTCTGGGGATTATGTAATTGCTGTGTTTTTGTTTGTGTTGCTGCCTTACGATTACATACAAACATACACATAAAAGACGAATTTCTCTATTATTCATACCCTACATCTCTATATATATATTTATGCATAGGTATTTATATTATTTTAAAGTTGAAGTTGGAAATGTTTTGGGAAAAGCTTGACATTTGATTGACATTCGGTCAAACATCTGTTCTTTAAGATAGAGAGTTTCGATTAATATGTATTTTGAAGCATTTACCATATGCCTGATGCCACTGATGCCACTGATCATGCACAGATCATCCACAGATAGTTGCTTAGTTTATTAATATCCAACCACTCGCGATTATAGCATCAATTTTCCATGAAAAAAGATCCTTAATGTTAATGTGTAATATTGATATTTCTGAATGCCCAAGGGATAAGTTTAGATCTGAAACACTGAGAAAGCACCTCTGGCCAAATCCTATTTGCTCTTTGCTATTTACTTGTAGTATACCATTTATTTTAGTTCTTATTGTAATTTTCTTCTTTTTTTTTTATTTTTTGTTGGGTGTTTTTTTTGGGCCTTTTTGCCGTACCCCAACATTGACTAGTTTTATTTATTTATAGTTATTGATCGATCGATCATCGAAATCAGCTTAGGAGCTATGGAAATGTATCTTCCTATGTACATACACATTGATAGTTCTGCTTACGATCTACGATCTGCGCTCTTCCAGCGGCAGATGCCAATTACGGGGATATTCCTTACACACATACATACATATTTCTAGACATATAAACATTTAAAAAAAAAAAAAAAAAAAACCCACTTTATATTCGACATTCTTGAACCACCCACCCTTCCACTCCTCCCCCCACCACCCCAGGGACTATGTCTAAGACTATGTCTAGGGACCTGTGTCTCTCTCTCTCTCTGCCTGTCTGTCTGCCTGTCTCACTGTCTGTTTATATCTCTAAAATACTGCACTTTCTTCTAATACTTTCTTTTCATTGGCTCCCCCCACCCTAGATCCTATCCACCTGCGTCTCCTGCAGCTCAATCTCCGTCTCCTCGGTGAGGGTGTACACACCGGAGGCGGCTGCCTGCGATGTGGTCGGTGTATTGAGGACATCCAGCAGGGGGCTGTTCAGCGAGGAGTAGCCCAGGCCCGAGTCGCTGCCATGGGCGATGCAGCTGTTGCTGGGCGTCGTCACCTCGCAGGAGGTCAACGTCGGCATGTAGGCGGGTGCGGGTGCGGGGCCAGGGGCCAATCGTGGTGCCCCGTTCGGGTCCATGGTCAGAATGGGTACCAGCTCGTGATTAACATAGTCCTTCAGCACTAGCGATGTGGGTGTGTCTGCAATAGATGTGGAAATTATCAATATAAATATTCGAAACGGGCCTTGGTCTGAACGCACCTGTTACCAGGGTCTCTTCGGTGGGATTGCGCTGATAGAGATGCGCACGCCTCTCGTAATGTCAGGAGGAGGCCGGCACATAGTACTGTCCAGAGTCATCGGGTCCCAGGTCCATCATGGAGCCACCAGCGCCAGTGGCAGTGCCAGCGCCACCACCAGTGACAATTACGGGTCCGCCTGGCGGCAGGCCGGTGCCAGAGTTAGCCAAATCGTTTTTCTTGAAGTCAACAACAATGCGTATGCGATGGACAATCTCCTCGTGGATGACGTTGAAGCACATGGCCGTGAGGGTCATGCCGGACATGATGTACACCGAACAGAACCAGGTGGTGGTGTTCGACTCGCGTCGCAGGCCCGGCAGCATGTCCCCGAATCCGATGGTCGAGAGGCTCATGAAGCAGAAGTATATGCCATCGACAATGGGCCAATTCTCGAGGCGGTACAGCACCGCGGCACCAAACACAATGTAGATGATCATCATCGAGAAGCAGAGGAGTATGGGGGCCATGATGCTCAGGCCGTGCATGGAGCCGCGCGACTCGCTGGCACTCAGCGAATCAATATCATTCGGCAGGGATGTGGGTGGACCACATGGACCGCCACCAGCCACACTGATGCCCGACAATCCGCCCGAGGAGTTGGAGACGGAGGCCACCGTTGCCACCGGTGGCATAGCGCCAGCGGCGCCGTCTGCCACCGCCTGCTTTTCGGGTGTGGTGTGGTAGACATCCCGGACGTAGTATGGTTCCTGCATTGCCGCCTGCTGCTTGCGCAGCTCCTCCTGCTGCCGCTTCCGGCGCATGCGTCGCTCCTTCTCCGCCATCCGCTTCTCATCGTAGCAACAGTACCCGCAGTTCGAGCACAGGCAACAGCACAGCGCCTTCGAGAACACCTCCCGGGCGATCTTGGCCAGGATGCTGCCGGTGCTGCTCAAATACACGAGAGTCAGGGGAATGCCGAAGAGTGCGTAAACCAGAGTCACGATCCTGCCCAGAGTAGTGCGCGGCGCAATGTTTCCATAACCTGAAAAGCGACACAACAACACAGCGAAAACAATTTAACACAATTGAAATTAAGCTTGATACTTTATTTATGGCTAGATTTGGGTTGAAATAAGCCATAAATGGCAGCACTTTTTGCACTGCAGCTCTAAACCAAGAAGCGTCGATAAAACATCGTGATTCCGAAGGTTTTTCACAATTAAAGATCAAGGAAAAAAAGGAAAACCAAAATTAAAAACTCTGCTCAAAGACTCCGCTGCAAAGAGAGATAGGGATAACACACACCAACTCAGTGCAGAAAAAGCATTTGCGTGCGAGAAAAACATCGATATCTGCAACGATTTTATCGATGTTTCGCCGCTCCAGCGAAAGCCCATCCAAATGTCTCCACCTGCAGGCCTTGAGTTACGCAGTAGAAACAACAGCAAATCAACGAAACACGAAACCAAAGCAAGCCCAAAACATTAACTGGAACGTTCAAGCAGCAGCAAGCAACGCCACTAAAGACTCCGCAGTGACAACAACAGACAACATACAAAACAAAACAAGCAAAACAAAACAAAACTCAGACCCGACCAGACAATCAGCTGTTTTGTTTTGCAATATGGCGTCCACATTGACAACCAACGGTTCCACCGTAGACAGCACAGGTCCGGCCAGCAAGCAGAACAACAATTGCCACATTGCACTCGACATGGAGCCGGTGCAGACGCGCAGCAAGCGCAAGGGCACTCCCATCAACAACGAAAATGTGAAACGCCCTGCAACGAGCGAGCGCACCAACAATGCAGGACCGAGCGCGGATCAGGCTGCCAATCAGCATCCGATGCCCAAGAAAGCCACGGCACAGCCACGTGCTGAGAACAAAGCAAAGCTGCGCCTAGATGTGTTTGCCGTCAAAAAAATCCAAAATCGCACCCCTGCCACTGCTCTGTTACGCGCAAAGTCGCGCGCCAAGATCGTTTTTGGGGAGCACCCCTATTCCAATCATGCCCAGATTTCCGTCTTGCTGCCAGCCATGCAGCGTCAGGCCGCCACCGAAGCCCAAGGATATATCAAGCAGACCCTTGGGACGGCTATCGCTGCCGCCTTGACGCCGGTGCTGCCGCTGCAGCCCGTGCCGCTTGATGTGGTGGACTTTGACCGGAAGAACTGCAACGACCCCTGCCAGGTGTCGCACTACGCCATGGACATATTTAACTATCTGAAGACACGCGAGCAACAGTTCCACATCGAGGACTACATGCACAAACAGATCCACATGAATACGTTCATGCGGAGCCAGCTGGTCGACTGGATGGTCGAGGTGCTGGGGATCCTCGAGCTCGAGCAGGAGACCCTCTATCTGGCTGTGAAGATCGTGGACCGCTATCTGTGCCGCGAAGTGATCGTCGAGGAGAAGTTACAGCTGCTGGCGGCCACTGCCTTCTTCATTGCCTGCAAGTACGACGAGTTCCAGCTGCCCTGCATCGAGGTTTTTCTGGACTTTTGCGACGAGGACTACACCCGCAACGAACTGATCCAGATGGAGCGCGATACGCTGCGCATTATCAACTACCAGCTGGGCATGCCCCTGTCCTACCGCTTCCTGCATCGCTACGCGCGCTGTGCCGACGTTCCGATTGCCACATTGACCCTGGCTCGCTACATATTGGAGCTGTCGCTGATGGACTATGCCACAATTGGGTTCAGCGACTCCCAGATGGCATCGGCCGTCCTCTACATGGCCCTGCGCATGGACGCCGGCATCGCTAAGCTGGAGCAACAGGCCTGGACCGCGACTTTGGTCCACTACACGGGCTACCAGCTGTCGGACTTTGCCAAGATTGTGCCCATCCTGAATGCCGGACTGCATCGCAGGCCGCAGGCCAAAATCTCGGTGATACGCAAAAAGTACTCGGAAAAGAAATTGTTCGAGGTGGTCAATGTGCCGCTGCTTACCAGCCAGCAGCTCTTCCAGCACAACCTCGATCTGAAATTGAATCCGATTGGTCTGTCGTAGGGCGCAGGATCTCCAGCCATAGCTCAAGCTTCCGTAAGGCTCTAAGCCGCAACAGTACCAAAAACAAAACAAAAACCAAACCATAAAACAAAGACCAGCGAAATTAAAGTGCAAGAAAATCAGCAGTCTTGTTTTGTTTTACTTTTTATACCCGTACTCAAAAAAGAGTTAAGGGCTATATTGTATTTGTGGTAAAAGTGGATGTGTTCAACGCAGAGAAGGAAACGTTTCCGACCCAATAAAGTATATATATTCTTGATCAGCATCAATAGCCGAGTCGATATAGCCATGTCCGTCTGTCCGTCTGTCTGTCTGTCTGTCCGTCTGTCTTGATGGGCGCCTAGATCTCAGAGACCATAAGAGTCTATAAGAGTCCAAATTTGGTTTCCAGACTCATGTGATATCACACTGCTACAAGTGTATTTCCAAACCAGCGCTGCTGACGCTACTGATTCTCTTTCTTGCTCGCACACTCTGCCTTGTTCAGTGCGCGAGCAACCCCTAGCGGAGGAGATGTAGAATATACATTGAATATGTATATGTAGATAAAAGATGTAGCAAAAAAATGTAAAATGTAAATTTTGTTTTTTTAATTCTAAACTTCTAAAAAATCATATGCTCAAAAATGTATATACTGACTGAGTACGGGTATAAGTAGAGTTGCGTCCCCAGAAGCGACTCACACGTTCCTTATCGTTTTAAAAAAAGATTTGTGTGTGCTTTCAGCAGGCTCCTGCTTTCACCCAAAATGAGTGCTTCCGTTTTCGCAAATTTCAAAGGAAACCAAAAAAAGTAGCTGCCTTCTGTAGCCTTGGATTATGTATCTAATATTAGCATTTGCCTTTTTTGATGAGCTTTCGAAGCATTTTCATTTTTATTTTCGATTCACGGATTCTTATCGCCTTTTTGCCACATTCATTTGCCAGAATGTCAATTTGGATGGCTCTCGTGGGAGCTGGCGGCTTGGCGGTTTGGCATTACCCAAAAGAGCCGTAAACCCCTGCCTCCACCCACTCCTCATGTCAGCCAGCTACATCCAATACCTCAGCCCCACTGGGCTTTCTGATAAAAAAAATAAAAATAAATAACACTAGTCAACACGATTTTTCCTCAAGGAACAAAACGAACTTTTTCTTAAGGATTTGGGGCTTAGAAATGGTTTGATGATATTTTTTTTTTTTCTATGGCAGAACTTTTTTTTAAAGAATTTTTGAAAACTGGTATTTTTTTTTAAGCTTTTTTCAGAGGTAGCGCTTGTTTTTTTCACATAACTCTAGTATCTTACGTCTGGTTGTAAAGAACTTAGCTATTTTGAAAAGATAATTGAAACAGCTAGAAGTTGATGCCGAACACTTTGTGATTTCAGCTTACCGTCTGGGAAATATAAAGCATTGAAATGCAAAAATGATGATTTTTGTGCGGTATTTCTTACGAAATTTTGACTTTAAAAACTCAGGAAAAGTCGAAAAAAAATTATATCTTGTGTCCTCTATTTTTTTGTGTATAGGTGCGTTAATTTGGCGTCGTTTAAGGTATCGCTCATTAAAATCTATGGAGAGACTTTGGAGGTAAAATTCGTTAACCAAACCTAAAATATGGAAAAAATGAACAAAAAATACCTTTTGGAAGGTTGCGAGCCCAACTGCCCAACTTCTAGCTGTTTCAATTATCTTTTCAAAATAGCTAAGTTCTTTACAACCAGACGTAAGATACTAGAGTTATGTGAAAAAAACAAGCGCTTCCTCTGAAAAAATCTTTAAAAAAAAATACCAGACTTCAAAAATTTTTCAAAAAAAAGTTCTGCCATAGAAAAAAAACCATAATTCTTTAAAAAATTTTAAATCTCCATATCTATCAGAAAAAGTCGGTTTGGATCCTTGAGGAAAAAAAAAGTTCGATTTTGTCGAGTAGTGTAATTAAGCTGGCAATGGCAATAAAAATGCTTAACAAGCTTAAGGCAGGAAATTCCCTAGGGAGGCAATCGGTTTTAGGTTTGCTTTTGGGAATGGGCAGGTGGGCGTGGAACACACACACACACACACGACACAAGCGTCGTTGTCGTCAGGTGTGTCATGCATTCATTTTGGTAATTTCAAAATTTTTTTTTTTTTTTTGCATCTGTTTTTGAGCAGGGAAGGGTATTATGCCAAGCCATAAAATGGAATATTTGTAGCTGATAAAGGATCTAATGATCGAAGGTTTGCTGAAGAGAGGCAGAAGTTTCAGATGTTTCAGGAGGATTCTTTCTTCGATGCAAATGGAATAAATGGTTCAGACTGAAAGCTCGAATATTTTGGTTGCATTGAATCGAATGATGTCTGGCTTTCGTTTATGGGGAAATACTCAATGTACAGCAATTAAATCTATGTGCAAAGGCAGCCCCTCCTGGAAGCTGGGCCCGTGTATGTATTTTTGGATATTTTTTTGTATTTATTTATCGGTTTCATTGGGCGTGTCTTTGACTTTTTTATAGAACAAATGATGCCGCCTGGTGGTGTTGATGCGTGCCCCACAAACCCTCTGAACCCTCAATGAATCGCATTAATCGAAGTCGATGTGGGAAATTCACATGTGGATAAGACCCAACGAGCAAACGCCTGGAGCTCCTGTCACTCACTCATCCGGCAATGGAGAGGGAGCGAGAAGCTGCGCCAGATTTGGGGAACATTTGATTGGGGGGGGAGCGGCTTGGAACAGTAGGAACTGAAACAGGAAGCGGATTTGGCGAGAGACCCTGGTTACCATGTAATTGCGTTGACAGCAAATTTAAATGAAATACCATCCCACCAGCCCCACCCCCACCCCTCAAGTCCTCTCCAAAGAGACAAAATGTCAATGTGTCACAAAGCAGACGACATCTCCAGCCCCCAGGCCCATCCTCCCTTAACCCGCTTTCCTTCACTCTCGTACAGTGATCCATTGTATGATGCTGTGGTGGGGGGAAGCGCTGTGGGAGAGGGTGAGGAATAAATCAAAAGTGGCAAAGCTTTTTGGCAACACTTTGCTGATTTATTTGAACCACGGTGCAGGGGCACAGGGTGTGCGAGGGGGCGGGTGCAGAGCTTCGGTTCAGAGAGGAAGTGTGACAACAAAAGACCTGCCCCATAGCCAGCCATGCGATGCCACCAATGGGGGTGTGGGGCTAATAATATTGCCATTGACCCGACTCCGAATCCGACTGCGACTCTGGCGGTGAAGGGGGAGCGGGAGGGCTGTGAAATTCAGCTGTGGCGCACTGTCAATTTGCCTGCCTCTTTGGGAGCAGAGTGTCTGTGGCAGAGGGTTACTCTGTCTGTGTGTGTGTGTGTGCGTGTGAGTGGCACAGCATCTACATATTTTATTGAAAGATATTGAAAGATTTCAATATATTGACAGACAGACAGGCAGACAGACAAGCAAACACATAAGCTTGTATGGGTGTGGCTCTGCTTTTCGGGTTAAATGATTTTCATCGCTCGTCCGGTTATTTATGTGTGTGCGCGTGTTCAAGGAACCCGCTAATAGCCATCGCTTTTGGTAGCCAGAATGTAGGCCAGCCAGGATGAGGCATTGCTGGCGTTGCCTTGGGCCAAATGCAGTCCGAGCGAGTGATTTGTGGTTCGATTGCCAGGGCCATTAGAGGCCACTCGGCAAGTGAATTATGTGAATACATATTGAATATACCCATAGCGAGCCGCAAAGTTGGACCAGTGTACTCTGGATAAATACGTACAATCTCCGCACGATTATTGGATATTAAATTGGATTTTTGATTTAATTTTTTTGTAGTTCCATTTTCCCCCCTTTCCCATCGCCCAATGAGTGAACGATTTCCCCGGAAATTTTCCTAAACACCTAAACAAAATAGGATTGCGATCATAAATAGCTGCCATATTTCTCGGTTCCCCCATTCGTGTGTCTATCAACAGGTTTATTTTTAAATACCCAGAGATACAGCACACAGTAGAAAATCCATCCATCCATCTATTCCTCTCTGTGCCAAATGGAGATCAAAACTCTGCTTAGATTTAGCCTATTCTTTGCGCCCACACCTCCCTCTCTGACCCCTTCAGGGTCTGGCTGTGTGTGTGTGTGTGAGTGCCCGAAGGTCGACATTGTCAGAGATTTGTTCGCATCTTACCTTCGCCGAAAAGGTGTATTTGCAACAAGCACAAATCGAAATTTTTTTCGGTCTAAATTTATGCCCAGCTCTTGGCTTTTGCCCCCTGCGCTATATGGCCATATGGTTTGGTAATAGGTCTGGCCACAATAATGGGCAAATTCTACAATATACACAGGACAAATATTGACTTCTCCCCTCGCCATTTGTGGGGTTTCATACTTAGCCCAAATGTGCCGTCTAATGAACTTTTTCAAGTTGGAAATTCTTGTATTATTTCAGGGATCTTTTTGATTACAAGCTTATCTTTTTGGTGATCTTTAGGGGAATGTATTTGCGTTCCTCTGTGGATGTTTTCACATTGATATTTCTACAGTAAATATCATTCAAGTGTGAAGAGCTGTTAGTCAACAGAAGCGGTCCACTCTATGGGGGGCTGTTATACGCACGATAGGCCCCTAGCCATCGATAACAACAGAGGCGATACTTACTTAAGAAGTCGAAGCGAACAAGATAACACACGTTCAAGAAAACCTTATTTTCAATTAATTCATTCTACATATATTGTTCAACTTATTATATCCAATAAACACTACTATACTACTCAAAAGCCATCCCTTCACAGTTCAGAAGTGGGATTAGTAGAGTTGTTATGTGTAGAGCGTAAAAGTTTTAAGAGAAACTCAAGAAAAGCGGCAAGAATCGTCGGCGTGGGAAGTTTGCAATGGGATATGTTCCCTAAGGTCTGTGTGACAAAGAAAATTGCAAATTACGGAGGTGTTCCTTTTCTACGCGGCAGACGGATTCAACGTTCAGCGATCAGGAATCTTAGTGAACCTGGACAGAAAGAGTCTCAAGAAATTGCGTCAGGAATCTGTGTGAGCCTGTCAATATACATTAATACATACAAAAGGCTTGTGTGTGTATGTAGCGTCGTTGTGAAATTCACAAGTGGAAGCCCAACGTTGTGAAATACAGTCATATCAGTTGTCTCGCTTGCACACATGATTACCAAACTG